CCTCTACCAGTAGTTAGGGCACTCACCTGAGAAGTGGGAGAGTGGGGTGGTCTTCCCTCAGTTGCACTGGAAGCAGAATATTGAGTGGCTCTTATGCTGCTCAGGCTTTTCTCTTAGTTTTTATTTTTACAGTTTTCCTTCTAGTCCTTGTACTACTTTTACAGCACATTTTGACAACAATACTCCAGCAAAATTTTCAGCCTGACAAAGCCTAGCACTGCAAATGTTGAACATTGGAGTCAATCACTGTGAAGAACAATATAGCCTGAAGAGTAGTAGTTCATTTAAATGTTCTTGGCTAATGCACTTCTTGGGATACCATATGACTGATAGAACTCTGAGATTTTCTGATTCTTGTGGTTGTAAGAATTATGATACTATGGATTTAAAGAGATCCCAAATTCCTGGCATTCCAGTATTAACTTAGAAGGCTGGTACCTATAGTATCAGAAACGTTCAAAGTAGAGGGGTATCAAAAGTTTGCATGTTACTTGAAATCCATGCTCTTCTAGTGAATGACAAAGCCAAATTTACACGTCACTAAATATTTGTTTGGGTTTTTTTTCCGCTCTGAATGCTAACATGTGCTATCAAATAACACATTTAAATTGCAAGAGAACTATCCACATTAGATATTTCCCCCTATTAGTTACTACAGGCTTGCTAATGACTAGTAAAAATACTACTTTTTTCTATAATGTATGCCCTAAGAAGTGTTCTTGGTCATGTTCAACTGACTCAGATGAAGTAATCTAGCAAAATAACACCCCATTGATCCCTCAAGACTGAGCCTGAAGCTCTGATTCAACAAATCACAGTTGCTTATGCATACTCTCCGCTGGAGACCAGCAAAGCACATGTTTAATTACTTGGTTAAATTAGGGGTTTGGCTGTGGCATCTTACATTAGTTAATGAGAAAGGGAAAAAAAAAAAAAAAAAAAAAAAAAAAAAAGGGAAAAAAAGCCCCAGCCAAAAACAGAGGAAATATTTTGATGCTAACATAAAGAGGTATGAATATAAACACAAACAAGATTTACATTTCTTGATTAAGAAGAAAGCATCTTGCTTTCAGATTAGAACACAACTTGAAAGACTGCTGCAGTATACTTGAAACAGTTTCCTGCATTCTGTTCAAGGACACAGGCTCACCTTTTTTTTTTTTCTTGAAAGTTGACACCGCTGTAGCCTTTGATCGGGAATGTCTGAAATGGCTAATTTCTCCATGTTGAGAATGCTTAAGCTGAAACACATTGAAAAAGCCTGTTCAGCAGAGAAAGGATACTTCTTGCTCCCTGAAAATCAAATATTTATTTGTTGTGCTCTGCCAAGTTAGCCCCACGTATTCGTATCCTGAGAACCTTGGTCTCTGTGCCCTCTTGCACTGGCAATACTGGCTCATCTACATTTATCTGAGTTAAAATACAAGCTCTTCAGGGCAAGTGCCTGGCCTTTTATGTGTTTTGAAAGAGCTGTATGTAATTAAAGTACTTTGTATGAAGAAATTACTTCAAAACAGTTTACATAGGGCAGCTATTTCAAGATCAAGCAAAAATATCCAGCCTTGTTCCCTGAGGAAATAAGGCTTATGTGACTGGACTGGCTGGCTATCCCTACTCCCTTCCTTCCAACACCTTTTGAACTCGTTGGACAGTTTAAACTACATTTGAAAGGGGGAGACGTCTCAAAGATAATTAAGTTCCCATGGACTTTATGAAAATCAACCGCTGGGAAGTGAGAAATCCAGATCCACAGTTCAAATAACTAATTTTTTCCGAATGTAATCTTGCAAACCCAAAGCTTGACTGCAAGTGTAATAATGGTTGTCAGGTTGATATTGTAATCCCAAGTTATTTAGAGGACCCACAATTATTTTTTAGCTGAATAGTAATATGCAGATTGAAACCATAATCAGGTTAAATTTCCCCTGTTTTGGTCTTCTGGCAGTTTTTAACATGACTAATATAGTGCATCCTCCTCACACTTGCAATTACTATGGATTTTCAGAGACATTATTACTCATTGCTTATTGGCTTGCTTTAATTGGTTGTGCAAATTTCTCATTTTTACTTTTTTTTTAGATAACAAACGATGTTCAGTCCTTATACCTTCTTTACAATTAATTAGTACTGGCAATGCATTTGCAGAATAGGAATAATAATAATAAACAGATACTAATTGGGCTACGCTACACAAGATTATTTTATGTGATAGGGAAATTTACAGCTCGTTTTGTTATCACAAAAGCACCTAAACCGTCTGAGGTGTATGAACTTTATGCAGCCTTCAATGTTCCTCTTCATTTAATTGAATGTTTTGGTTTGGCTGGTTGAAAACAGTCACTGAAGGGAGGGAAACAACAAACATCAAGTTTTCTAATTTGCAGATTATGTCACTCTCTCTACAAATACATAAAAGAAAATGTAGAAAACAAACCACCAAAACTTGAAGGATCATGATGACTAATTTGCCCATTTGAGAGCTGCCAGTGAGGTCACTATGTGCACAGAGACAGGACTTCAGTAGGGGTACAATTGCTTACCAGTTGTATAGGCAACATACTGAAGATAAGCAGGCAAAGACAGGGGGTCTCATGGATTTTTGTTTTATTGGGGTATGATGTGCCAACTGTGAATTTCCGCATTTTAGGTCTTTCTAAAGTTTTTGGGTGCTTGGGAAAACTTACTTTCTGCATACAGTGTCACCAGTAGCAGATAGGCTCGGTGGAGCCATCCAGGAGCATTTTATAACTCCTCACACTTGGAGGAGTTTGAGAACAGAGGCCAGCAGCTGTTCTGCTGATTATGCAAAAATAAGTCACCTACTGCGCAAAAAAAACGCCCGATCTTTTAAATTGCCCCAGAGGGTGACTCGCTGTGGGCCGGGCCTCAGGGGTTGACCCGGTGTCTCTCCGCCTCCGCGCTGAGCCCGAGCAGGACTTTGCCTGGTGGTCCTTCCTGACGAAGCTGTTCCACTTCATTTAAGTCATTAAGCGTTAATTAGAAGAGGACTAGTTTAGCATTCATTAAACATTAAATACTAATTGAGCGCCCGGGGAGAGCGCCGGCTCCATTAGGCAGCGGAGTCATTCTCACGCCGGCCCTGCCGGGGACGGGGCAGGCAGGGGGGAGCCGCCCGGGCGTGGGGCGAACCACCACCCCGGGCCCCGCAGCGCTGCCCCAGGCGGCCCCGGCCCGCGGGCGGCGCGCCAGGGGCGGGCCGAGGCGGCGGCACAGGCGGCGTGGAGCCGCGCCCGCCGGCCCGTGGCTGAGAGGCGGAAAATGCGATTCATCGCCCCGCGGGGCTTTGAACTCAGATCTGCCGGGAGGGCCCGGCCCCGGCCGCCTCTCCGGGCGTGCATCACCGGGTCTCGGCACCTCCGCGCCGCAGGACCCGGGGGAGGCCGGGCCCAGCCCATGGCAGCGGGTGTCGGGACGGCAGCGCCGCCTCGCTTCTCCGCAGGTGGAGCTGCGCAGAGCCCGGCCCGCCTTCCCTGGCGCTCGTCCTTCGGTATCAGCACCGCGTCGGTTTTGCCCGCGGCGGCGTTTTGCCCTCAATAACGTCGCAGCCGCCACCGCGCCGCCCGAGCTCCTGCGGGACGGCCGCCCGCTCGCCCTCCGCCGCCTCTAACAGTTCTCGCCTGGCACCCCGTCCCCTCCTCGCCGTCCGGCGGAGGCGGCCCGGCCAGGTAGAGCCGCTGCCCGCGGCGAAGGCGGTGGCTCGGGGCGGGCCGGGGCGCGCTGCGGGGGCGGGCGGAGGCGGAGCGCCCAGACGGCCGGCGCCGGGGTAGCGGCGTGCGGGGCAGCTCCGAGCCGGGCCGCGCTGGGCGGTGAGTGTGGGGGGCCTCACTCGGCTGGGCGAGGCGGGGAGGCGCTGCGCTGCGGAGCTGGGCGGGATGGGGGCGGCCGGGACGGGGATGGGTCAAGTCCGGCTCCTTTCCGTCGTTCGCCCCGTCCCGGGCAGGGAACAGCGGCGGCGGACTCGAGGGCGCGGGTGCCCGTGGGCGTCCTCGAGGGCGGGGAGGAGCGGCCGCGCTGCCCCGTCTGTGCCGGGAGCGGGAGCGCGGCCCGCAGCCAACCGACAGCCAACCCGCAGCTAACCAGCAGCCAACCCGCAGCCGTACCGTGCCCGGGTGTGAGGGAAAGGCGCGGCGCTGGGAGAGAAGCGCGGCGTCTGCGGGCGAAAGGAAGCCCTGAAAACGCGCGGCGGCAGCCGGCGTGGAGAGCATCGGGAAGGGCGAAGGGACGGAGTAGGAAACGTCCGCGGCGTTTGGAAATACAACAGCTCAAAACACGTATTCATCTTGCCGGCATGTAAAAAGTGCTAATATATTAAAATGCAAATAGGCTTCTGTGCTCGGTAATGCTATTGCGTGTTTCCTGTTTACCATGTTAATTAGAAGTTGTAAGGGAAAACTTCACGGGGAGTGATGCAGGGCAGCGTTTGACCCGGTAATGCTCATTGAATGATGCAGTGGCTCCTGTTGTTTTGAGCTTTCGTTAAGGGAAAATGTAAAAAATGAAACGTAAGAAAAGTAACTTACTCTCATTTCTACCACCAGCAGCCTCTGAACTGTCAACCAATATGGACAGTTCAAGTCCATGCCGTTTTTTTGGCAAACTCCATGCTGTGATTTTGACCAAGCAACGTGTTTCCCCAGCCCTACCAATGCCAGAATACTATATTACTTCAGGTGATGTTAACTAATTGTGAAATAGTTTGAGATCTAGGACATACAACACTGCTATTGTAGGGCAAGGTAGGAGTGTTGTAAACAAACACAGGCAAAGGCATAAGGAGAATCTTGGGATTTTAATTGTGTTTTGAGGGTTTTTGTTTGTTTCATTAGAGCTAGTATCATTTAGTATGTGTTTTTTGTCTTGGTTTTGCTTTGTTTTCCTATTCATTGTATCCTTTTAAATTCAAGGTGAAATTAAGACAAATATGCTTATTAAACAAACACTTTTGACCTTAACCAATTTTTTTTTTTTTTTTTAAATAGTCCTCCTCACAATTTCCAGATTGTTCCAAAGAAGAGCATAAAAAGAAACCAGTTTTGGAAAGACTTGGAAATTTGTTTGGTACAGGGAAAAGGAAAAATGTCAAAAGTTCATTAGAACACACTTCTCATTGGAAAGGAGAGAGGTCAGTTTCGCCTCACGCAGCGCAGCCCATTTACTGTAAACATATACAGCAAGGTCCTGAATCTCCTCCGGTACAGAAGCAAGTGAGAAACACGAGTGTCGTTCCTGAGACACAAGAATATAGTTTCAGTGGGGAAGTAGGACCTCTGTACCACGATACCATTTCAGAATGGAGTGGTCGAGGAGTATCCTCTGACAGTGAGTGGTCACCAGACTGGAGCAGCAGCAGCGAAACCATTAAAAACTCTTTCTTTGAGAGTAGTTTGAATGTGGACACCCGGGAACCAGAGAAGGGGTCAGTCACAGATATAAATAATTCCACAACTCCAGATTTTATAAAAAGTTTGAGGAATTTGTCTAGCGAAGACTTAGAAAAGAGTATCTTAAGCCACAAGCATCTGGTGAACACGTGGGTGTCTGAAGAGCCTGGGCATGCAAAGCCAAAGGATTTGCTATACAAACCGGAAACTCTAGCAAGTGAACACCCGCAGCCTGCGAGAGTGTTAACAGTTGATATCTATCTTAGAAAAACAGACGAACTCCTTAATGAACCCGTGACTGTTATATCGGAAGAAAATTGTGGTGACTCGGACACAATGGATAAGAAATCTTCTAGTAAAAGATCTGGGAAAAGGAGAAAATCTCAGTCATCTAGTGACATTACAAATGGAGAGAGAAACCAGACGGAGAATACTGCGAGAGAAGATTCTGTTTTTGAGGATGATGCATCTTCTGAGGGGTTTCCAGACAAGGTAATAACCTCAGAAAGAAAACTGAAATCTCCTCAACAGACTCCTGAACGGAATTCCTTTTCTTCAGGTAATAATCCAGACCTAAAAGCTGGATCTGCTCACAAAGGCACGTCCAAGACTGAAGCTGACAAAGGAAAACAACATGCTTCAACCACAACCCCTGCAAGGAGAAGATCTTATAAAAAGAATCAGTTGGATGCTCTTCCTACTTCCCCCACTGGTTTGAAGAGTCAGATGAAAGATTACTCCTCAAAAAGGCAACCTTTAGCATCGACGGAGAGTAACCCAGTGACAAAAAGAACTTTGCAGGAAAAAGGAACTCTGCCTGGGGCTTTTGGGGAAGACAGCTTGGAATCTCCCAAAGTCTCCTCGTCCAGTAAGGCAGAAGACAACACCATGGTATTTGCTGAAGGCAGAAATGAAACCAAGACAGAAAAGCATGGTAATGATTCTGATGGAAGAGCTTTCTTGCATACTGATAAGATTAAAAATGGAGACCTATGTATGCCAGCTGAGAGACAGACAAGTTCTGATTTAGACAGCTTCAAGCTGAAGAGTTTGGATGCTTCCAGAATAGTCACAACAAAAATTAGCCTGTAAGTAAGATAACTACAGTTTACCTTACCCTTGTAGCTGTAATTTTGCCAGCATCTGTATTTAGGATTATATAGGAGCACTGGCTATGTATCTGCTATCTAGATTATTTTCAATTAAGAACTGCTTCTTTTAATCATATTTACACCTAACTAACACTGTAATATACATGTGTTAGAAGAATAATTTGTGTCTAGGTCATTTCTTTGTATGTCTGTTTTGTTATATAGAATAATTTAACATGAGTAAAAGCTGCTCTGTTGTCATCGTTGCCCCTTTTGTTGCTCAGGTTAGTTTGGCTCTCACTGACCTTCATGTGATTTTGCTGTTTGTAGCCAATGGAGGATCTTCTTAAAGATTTTGTACTTTAAAATCCACGGCTAAGGAAGGTGTTCAGGTTATTCTTTGAAAAAGGAGCAATTCTGCTCAGCAGTTGTTTTATGAAGAGATGAAGGATGCAGTGTAGAGCTTACTTGGTACTTCAAATTATATGATAAATCGGACTCCAGAAATTTGAATGCATTTAGCTGTCTTTATAAGTACATGTAGGACAAAGGATGTAAATTCTTATGCATGGGATTTAGATCAGGCATTTGCAGAATTATGCATAGTTAGATTGCGTGATTTATTTCTGAAGCAGTTGTTCTCTGTCAAGCAGATGTGATCTTTGCTTTCCTTAGGAAGAAGTGGATGTATTTGTTATTTGCAGTGTGATCATTAGTAGGATTCCAGCTATTGATTTCCTGGACTACCAACGGTTTTGTTCTGTGAATCATTTTATTGTTCTTGTCATTTCTATTGTTTGGTTTTCATGGGTATGTAATAGGCAGCATTGCTTTCCTCTTTGTGGTGCATTCACTTACAGGTCGTGTCAGAGTCCACATGAGTTGCCTTTCATTTGTGCTAGAGGTTCAAGAAAGTTCAGCATTAAAGCTTAACAACCACATATACTTCCAGTTATGCTTCCCACATCTGCAAAGTATAGAGATGATAGGAATATTTTCTTTGCACAGTTTGTGAAATGCTACCTCTGATTTGTACCTTTCTATCTGGATCGAAAACACCTCATTCTTATAGTTAAATTGTGGTGATTTTTGTACACAATGCCATTGTGTCATCTGGCGACAGAGCTCACAGATGTTCAGCACTGCAGTTTTGTATCTTTACAAATTTGAATGCAAGTAGCCTGCATGTTTTTCTCCTTGTGTCACTACCATTAATGATGATGAAGTTACAAGCACTTGCATGGCTGGATTTTGTTTGTCTGGATATCTGTTTGGTTTGTTGCACAGAGAATTATCTTCTGCTATACTCTAGACAAGTACCCCTTCTGACAGACTTCATTTTAATGGATAAAAGCCTGTTCTTTCTCACCTGGCAGTGTGGACTGTGCACTGCTTTGCGTCTTGACCTTATCTGCTGCTCCAAGAACTTTAGCCCAGGGTGGGGACTGCTGTGTTCTGCAGGTTCACCATGCTCCTGGTAGATACTGTTGCACAGAATCACACAATTTCTTTAGCCTGATAAATTGATACAGTCGGATTATCTGATGCAATTTCTGGTCATCCTTGAAAGCATGTTGAGCTATAAACCTGGATGTGAGTTAAGTTGTAAAACAGGAAATCACTCATTTGAATGAAGATGGACAATGAGAGACTCATTTCCCTCCTATATAATGAATTTGAAATAATCAAACTAATTTTCAATTAAAGAATATGTGACATTTCTTACAGATGACGTGATGCCAGTTCTGAGAATCGAAGTTATTGAGAAGTACTCCTTAAGAAGTTGTTTTTGCCAGTTCTCAGCAAATAATGATAGCGGTTCCTGTCTTTGCTCCTTTTATGTCTTTGTGTTCATTGAAACTTGGGAGTCACAGGATACTTTTGCCTTTAGCTTTTGAAAGAGGAACTTACTAGGCCTGAGACTAAACTTAGGCTAATGGCACCTCTCACTCAGCACATAAAAGCTCAGGCAGCTGTTAGGGTTTTGCTGAACACATCAGCCTTGACTTTAGTTGTCATTTTTGATTTTCAGACTTGGTTTTGTAGCTGCCTTTGTGCCTATGCCCACTCATTGAATTCTTCTGCTCTGTTAGCATGTTATTTTACTTTGCTTGCCTCAGTCTGATGTTTTGGCATCAGTTACGTGTTTGATGAGGTATGCTTCAAGTATATGAGTCACCTTCAATTTATGACTATATTAGAGGAGATTTAACTGCTTGCTCACACAGGTTAGCTGCAAGGTATAGCCTAAGAGAAGGACATTGGTATTTCACTTGTGCTTGCTTGTTTCTGGCCAGCAGTGGGTGGAAATGATGAACTGTATTGGGCTGTTTGTAAGAAAGTGGCTGAACCATTATTCGAATCCGTGTTTCAGTGTTTTTTCTCCCATGCTGCAGGGGAAATTAAAGGACACTCGGACAGCTTCTCTCCTCCTTTTAAACAAGCTTAGAAATTCAGTACTTGCAAAGAGACGCGTCCTTCAGCTATATTTAAAATCAGCCTTCCTCAGTGTGGAACAGCAGCGTTCCTCAGTGGCAAAATGAAAGGCTTAGCTGCACGTGACTGGCTGTGGTGGACGGACCTGCAAGGCTGAGCTTTTCATTGCTCTTCAGCATCAGTTGTTTGTCTGCTGCTCTGCAAAAATACTGCAGAGTAAAATACAGGTTGCTGAAGCAGTTGTTTGTGTGTAAATTTGCAAAGCTTGAAACTATACCTTTGAGGTGTTCGTTGCTCATTGACATAAGTTTTAGGTGTGGCTGATAACTATCAGTGTTAACCATTGCGCTTGCTTGTGTCAAGACTTACAAGGAAAGAAGGATCTTATTAGGGAGATGTGTTGTTTGTTGTGTTGAAACGCATGTAGTAGTGCAAGTGACAGACTGACAGGAGGAGGGTATGGAAATGAGTCTGTGAAGATTACCAGGTGCTAGTGATACCTCTTGAAAATACAAGCAGAAGGAAAATATAACTTTCTTCCTCTAGTGCATCCTTCTAGCAGAAGTCCTTCTAGCCTGCTACCCTCGGTACAAGTGAGATTTTCACAAGATGGAATGAGTCTTTCAGTGTACCATTAAGATAGTGTCACTGGGGTACATTACGTACAGGTCGAAGCTGAAGCACTTGGCTTTGTTTTAGCAGAGAAGGATGTGAGTAGATCTTGCCATCATCTCCACGGAGGCATTAGAGAAGGCAGAGCAGTTTCTTCTCTGATCTTTCAGTGGAGGGACAGCAGCCTAGTTGCAAGTTGCAACAAGTAAGTTCCAGTGGAACATAAGGTAAAAATAATTCATAGGGCAAGTGGATGACTTGCTTCAGTGCTTCCATAGCTAGTAAGGGTGCAGATTTTCCATCCTTGGAGATACTCAGCCCTTGGTCAGAGAAAACCTTCAGCAACTTTGATCTTACTTTGAAGCTGCATCTGCTGAGTGGCAAGCTGGACTAGATGACCATCAGAGATCCCTTTCAACTTGCTTACATTTCCAGAAAAAAAAAAAAAAAAAAAAAAAAAAAAGTAAAGTAACATCTTTCAAAAGTTACTGCAAAAGAAAATAGGGTGTAGATATCTTGAAATTTGTTGTCTGATAGTTTCACACCTTATTTGTCTCAAGAATGTTGTTGTTTTTTTTTTCCTGCCTCTAGACTTCAGTTTTCCAATTGCTTTTTATTTAGCTTCTGTTTGAGGTACAGTCAGTCAGGTGTTTGTAAGTTCACTTTATCTTTTTTTGTTGTTGTTGTCTTGTGTTCTTTGTAAGAACATTCCAGTTAAGAGAAATTGAGCAAGCAGTGTGCACTGTCAGGAAGTCTCCTGAAATACGCAGTGATTTCAGCAGTTACTTTCTGCATAGTTTCTTAGGCAGTTGATTTGGGGTTCCTTCTGTCATCACAGTAAGTTTGTTCCCTGTGCTTCTCTCAAGAAGAAAAGTTGCTACAGTGAAGATGTTTTGGTAGGGTTTACTTTCTTACCTGAGAGGATTCTTGAGGGAGAGAAGGAAGGAGTGGATTCAGTTTTTACGTTTGTGATAACTCAATTGTACCTCACCCTTCTTCACTGGACTGAAGAGCTCTGTCACAGCTCAGCAAACAGCTGTGTAGGTGAAGAACAAAACCAATGAGTACAAGAATAATTGGTAGAGCATATGAGGCCCCTGCAAGCGAGTTTCTTTAATCTCCCGCCGTTTTAAGATTTTGTTTCTGTGCATTCTGTGCATTCCTCTGTGGAGAGCGGGTCTGACTTTGAGATGCTGGTGGGCTGCTTGGCACTCCTTACTTCTGGCTGATAAATTTTGAAGACATGCCTTGTTCTTCTCAGCTGTTCACACGCCTGCAGTAGCAGGTGACACAGACAAAGGCTTTTCTTTGAATGTAGATATTCTGATGAAGGAGATGTGCGTCACCAGCTTTCTGCAATAGTAGACAAGTCATATGTACTGTGGCCTCCTAGTATGCACTTTTCTATCCACTCTGTTCAATAAGATTTTACAAGTGTTTCCCAATTCAGTTCTTGTAAAATCAGCAAGGTTAGTTTACACTATTTAAAATGTTAGCTGACTTCACCTGAGGGAAATGGGAGAGTCCTCCCATGCGGTGTTGGCTAATGGTTAAAACAGTGATGAGCAGTTGCAGTGGATCGGGGGATTGTGATATTTTCTACCAGCAGTAATGAATCCAGAAGAGGTTTCTCACTTGATTTATGGTTGCTTCTGCAGTGCAAGGACTGAAAAGAATCTGGGCAGATGTCTTCAAAACTTGTTGTGGAGGTATATTCTAATGTTAACCAACTCATTATCACCTTAATGAATTGGGATTTGTTTCCTAAACTCTGCAGGGAATTGCATGCGTGTAATTTATTCTGCCTGTTCACTATTAAATTTTAATTTCTGTCAGTCATAAGTAGTTCTCTGCCTCATTTGCAGATGCTGTAGGCTGCTGTGTTTCTGCATCTTTGTTTTGCTGAGCATTAAATAATTACTTACGTTTGAAATATATTTTCCTTATTTAGTGTTTAATTATTTTGACTTTTTGAATTCCCTTTGAGATACTGAAATTTGAGCTGATTATGATTGTAGGAAAATCATCTTAATGCTACATCTTGTAGTTTTACAAACTGTTACAAGTCTCGTTAAGATTACTGAAAGATGTAACTGTGTATCACTTTGCCTCCCATAGCCCGGCCAAACCGAAGAACGTAGAGCTGAATTTTAAAGCGCCTACAAATCAAGACAGTTTAGAAAGTGAGCAGGATACTCTTGAAAAACCAGTTAATAAAAATAACAACAGCATTGCCAACAAAATTTCCTTGTTTGAAAATAAATGTGCCAATCAGAGCCAGAGGCCTGCTGATAGCTCTGCTTCAAAAAATAATGCTGTACCAAGCACGTTTGTTGGTAGAGCAAAGCTGATATTTGGAAAACAACCTAAGGAAAGCGAACAGCCTGATAAAACGTTAAATAAGCAAAACAGTCGCCAGAAGTTATGTGAGAATGGCACAGCCGAGAAAGATGGAACTGCAGAATTAAAAGGCAAAAATGAAGAAGGCTCTGCAGCTTATGAGGACGTTGGGAAAGGAACAGAGCTTAAAGTAAAAGCTGCAATATCCCTTTTTAACCAAAGCAGCAAAATTGAAGCTAGTGGTGCCTCTCTGAAGCAACCTGATCCTGAATTAAGCGCAGCTAAAAAGGAAAGTTCTCCTTTTAAACCGTCTTTGCACTCGCCTGTTAAAAATGAAAGCGTTCATGATATTTACTACCAGCAAAATAACACAAGCTCAGAACTCCCCAGAAACGAAGAGAAGGTACTGCCAGGCACGGAGGTCTTATCGCCCTGCAATGGTGATAAATATCCTCTACAATCTCATCAGCTTTGTAGACCAGAATCTCAGAAGGTGGAAAATGGAGATAAAAATGCAAAGTTGGGAGATTTGACCTATGCAGCACAGCAGTGTGATGGCAGCAGTCTCAATGGTGTAGTGATGTTGGAGCACAGCGGTAATACCCCAGAGAGCCCTAGCAAAACTTGTAATGGCTCTGCTGAAGATGATGCTGTTTTTGATTCTCCGACCGACATGAAGAAGTTTGCTGAAACAATAAAAAACTTGGACAGCTCAGTTTGTTTACCGCAGAAAAAGAAAAGGTCAAAGCTTCCTAAATCCCCAGCACCCCACTTTGCAATGCCTCCGATTCATGAAGACAATTTAGAGAAAGTATTTGATCCTAGTGTATTTACTTTTGGTTTGGGACTGAGAAGGGAAAAAGTGCAGGATCTGTTACCAACCCAACAAATGAAAATGCAAAGTCTGGAAACGATAGCCAGAGTCAGGCCCAAACGCGCATCAACAGAGCAAAGTATAATATTCAAAGCCCTTCAGTCATGTAGTAGAGAAGAACCTGCTTTTACTCAGGAAATAAATGGGAAAGAGAACACGGATGGTACAGATGGTGAAGTCAAGAGATCCCGGCTGGAAAAAAGCTCGCTCTTCTCAAGCTTGCTGTCATCTACTTCTAAAGAAAAGCTGCTTAATCCGTCTGTGACCTCAGTAAATAACACAACTTTTATATCAGACTCCTCAGGGATACCTTTTTTACAACAGGATGCTTCTGGGCCATTCAGCCTGCCTCAAAAACCTGAGGTAATAAAAGATGAACAGCGTTTTGCATGGTTGTGTTTCATGAATTAGCTGCTGAATGACTGTTAATTTTTATTTTTGTGATCCAGTCTCTTTCAGATATGAAGTTTCCAAGTTATATGGAGAAGTACATACAAGCAGATAGTGCAAAAAAAGAGCTGAGTTTACCAATGCCTAACTATGGGAATCCAGAAAAAAATTTTTCCAGCTGGTTAGGGGCAAGCAGATATGAATCAAATGTCCCCACTGGTTTATTAGATGTAGATGTAAGTATTATGTCATTAGAAATCTGTCTTGAAAGTTACTGCGCATAGCTTTTGTTTTGTTTCTTTCATAGTGGGATATGCATCGATTACATGCACAGAGTGAGCATAGGTATAGTAGCAGTTTCATCTGATGTTTGCTACATATGAAGATAAGATGCATGTCTGTAAAATGTATGGCATCTCTTAAAATGATTGTTTCTTCGTGATGCCTTTATTCTAAGACTCTTCACTAGTAGGAAAGGATATGTTTGAATATGTCTCCATGCTTCTTTTTCTAAAATAGGTCTCGCGCTGCATCTGTTTTTTTTTATTCTCAATCAGTAAAATGCTTTCTGCAAATTTCGGAGAACTTTTGCCTGTTCTTTTAAGAATAATCTCTCTGTTCTTACACTCAGACATTCAGTCGTTACGCTATTATAAGGATAATAAGGCAAACTTTCTTAGTCCATCATTTCTGCTCTCAGTATTGTCATGCATTTGGTAGAAAATACGTCATTCTTAAAGTATTCCTTAAGAATGCATAGTAACAGCAGTGTTGCTGCAGTGGAGGGATGCCCCTTCACTTGATTATGAGCTTCTGTTCACCATGAGTGAAGGTAGACCTGTGTTTTCTTTCAAAGCCAATTTCACCCCAACATGAGAACTGTGATTTCTGCTTTCAGTATTTTGAACCAACAGTATTTGCTGTTTCTACAGATGTTGTCCTTATCGTTACCCAGGAAGAAAAATGTTTTCCAAAGTTTAATAGCCGTATTAATGTGATCTGTGGAATTGAAGTAGCATATAAGAAACTTGAGCAGTTCTTTGCTAAAGCAGCAGATTATCTGCTGTTACAGTTCTACTAAAATGGCTGGGGAAGCAGAAATAACTTCTTCCTTCTACACCTTATGGCAGGAAATAATCCATTCTACCTTAAAGTTTTGAGAATGTCGATTTTTCTCTTATGGGAAGTTTTAAATTAGTGTAGGGTTGAAAATTAGGTCGTTTATTTGCAGTGATGCAGACTCCTACCACCAGTTCTAAAGGAATCCTGACTTTAGGTGGTCCTATTTGGATTTCAAAACCTGAATTTGAAGCAAATGACTAATGCAGGTGCTAATTTTTGCCACTTAAATTGTTGTCCCAGAGTGGATTTCACTATTTCATTAGAGCGTGGAAGCACAGTGTGGCAAGGAGGTATGTCCACATGTAAGATTGCTCTTGGGAGGAGTTCATTAGTCTCCATTGGGTTCCAGGTCTTCTGCAGCACCATTGCTGACTCTGAAGTGTCTTGCTCAAGGTAGGCAGGTATCAAGAAAGTTTGTATGACATGTACATACTGTGTGTCTTCATCTGACTAAAAAGGTGGTGATGAAGAGACTAATGGACAGCATGAAGGGAAAGAGTAAGGGCAGCCTAAAACGATGACTCTCAATGACGCTCGCACTGAGCAAGTTCTAACTGGAATTGAAGCGCAGGCTGAAAAACCAGTCATGCTTCAACTTGTCTTGATGATGCCTACAAAAATCCAGTGGTGGTTAGGAGCTCTATCCTGAGACCACTGCCAGCCCTGCATGGTGATTAATCTGTTCTCATTAGTTCCTTGCACGTGTTGCTGCTTATCTTCTGCTGTGAGCTGTTTGAGGGCAGGGTCTGACTTTTGGTTTATACGAATAGTACCTAGCAGAGTGGGACCCTGTCCAAGAATTAATGCTCCAGTCCTTGCTAGAAAGCCACACGTAATTACAACCCTTTCCTTATTTGTTTTGAGATCACATGATACAACCACAAATTTTTTCATATAGCCTGTATCATATAGTTCCCTGTAGACTTAGAGGTACTGTTACAGATTTTGTATACCTGAGTATATTTTATTTCTTCTCAGCATTTTTAGTCTATTGCTTATTACAGAGCCTCATACTTCTTGGAGAATACTTACCTTGTTAGAAGATGTTCAGCAAAAAATTGATTATAATATCTAGTTCATGAATGTATATGCCACCATGCTTCCTCAGTCTTATCACCTATTCCTTAAAAATTATTTATTTCTTTGTGGTTAGCAGACAATAACATATTCATTAATATCTTGAAAGTTGTAGAGCATGTACTTTCATAATGCCAGTTTTATGAGTACTCGCTCAGTGTCTGAAACTCCTGGAATAAGTAGAAAGCTGATCAAAAGAAATTTTAAAATGTTTCAAATTTGAGAATACTTGTCTTCAGTGAGATGATAACTAAAAGAAATAATAATTAGAAAGTGTGTTACTCATGGCAAACTATTGTTCTTCAGGAAGAAGGAGGAATTGAGGCAGGAGCTAGGTGTAGGTGAAGTTTTTTTACTGTTCAGCGTAATTTTCATTTTGTTTTGGTAACTTTTTATAGTTTAGCATCTTTATTGAATGGATTTTTGGTTTGTTTTATATAAGTGACTTTTCTCTCCTCACTGTTTATTAGACACTTTCAAGAAATGGACAAAGTAAAATCAATCCCAGGCCTGGGAAGGTAAGACCAATTTTATGTTCTTTGCTGTTCCTCTCCATATTTAGAAGCACAGCAAGACAAAAATAGTTGATGTTGGTTTTGTTTTAACACAGCTGGTGATATACTGTGACAATCAAGAGAATGTTATTGAAGTTTTCCATGATGTTCTGGATTGCAGTTCTTGGGTTCTGTCACCGACAATCTTAGTTAAAGTTATCAGAGGATGGTAAGATGAATTTTAACTCTTTATCGTTGATAAATCTACCCAGAGATCTTTGTCTATCTGGAAATCCTTTGGAACTGAACCAGTGTTCAGCTGCCAATGTAATGTAGACACCTTTTCAAAGAAACATGGTATTTTACCTCCTGCTATAGGAAGCTCTGTATTAGCTAATTGGAATGAGTGCTCCATTTGGAAGAGTTCAACATTTCACCTCAGTGAGATAAAAAGACAAATTCTGTCCATTCTGCCCTTTGATTCTTCTCTCCTTTATGGATTCTTAAGTAGTATTTGAATTATGTTAACAGGATAGCTAGGGGTTTTGAAGACAGGTTTGATATGGGTTAGGGCTACATTAGTCTCGACGAGGAAGATAAATTCCTTAGCCAAATATATGAAGTGATTGTGCAGATATTTCTCCAGTGAGTCTAGAGGGAATTTTTCTCTAAAAGCTGGATTGTCTGTCTATTTAAAAACCAGTTCATCTGTCACCTTCTTTAGAGTGTTAAAAGTACAGCCATTACTGGTCTGGATAGTATGGTAATTTAAGCTGTGACCAGGCTATAATATGGTCAAACAGCATTTTCTCAAAAGTAATGATCTGATAGCAAGCTGGATGAACAAGGACTAGCTGCTGTAGGAGATCCTAGTTCTAATGGCTGCTTAGTTCAGAAAACAGGAATGAAAATCTGGCCTGTGTAAACCAAGGCTCTCTTCTTTTCCAACATGGTTTTCAGTTGTCCTAAGGGAATATTTTTTTATTCCCTTTAAGTGAGAGCTCTAGGGGAGAGTTTTAAATCTGTGAATGGATATAGTTTTTATCTGCTTATTTATTCAAACCTACAGTTAAAAATAAAAGTTGTCTTCTGAGCATTCTTCAGCACGTCTATACCAGCCCCTGTAGAACTGTACAATGCTGTTCATAGTATCCAAGTAGCCTGTTTATACATGACACAGCAGTCTGTAGTGTCAACATTTTCTGACCTACAAATTGGTTCTGATTAGTATCTCGTGCAGAAGTCTGCTATATATAGACAACACTCCTGCAGTCCCAGATCATCAGTTTGAAAAGGGTGGAGAAGTTTTTGATGAAATTACAAAGTCAGCGGTAGGCATCCTTGTTTTCATAATTGCTTTAAAAAATATCACAATGACCAGAAATGACTTGCATCAGCATTGTTGGGTGAATAAGCTGTGTTGGAGTGGCATGGAAGGTCTGGAAATGGTGCTTCTTGTGAAAAAAGAAATTGTTAAATGGGAAAATGATTTTTTGAAACTCACACTTGATAAAACATTTTAAACTGATGATTTTTTAATTTAAGCTGGATACTCTATGAAAAACCAAATTTTGAAGGTCCTTCTATTCCTCTGGAAGAAGGTGAACTGGAATTCCCAGATATTTGGGGTGCAGGTGAAGAGCAAAATGAATGCGAATCGCTAAAGCCTGCAGTGATTGGTTCGATAAGACATGTTGTTAAGGCAAGTAATATAAGTAAAGAATCTCTTGTAGAAGTCCTAATGTTTGATGAAGTTTTATACTGTTAAGAAAAATCAATCTTGCAGGTTGGATTTCTCATATGGTCACAGTGTGAGTGGGTGGGTGGGGTTTCTGTTATTTTTGTTTAATTGTTAATTTTGTTTAATTTTGTTAAATTTTGTTTTGAAGTAGGGATTTGGCTAAAAAACAGTGAAAGGGTACGTCGGGAAGAAAATCATTTTGCATTGAAATGGCCCAGAAAATGCTATAGAAACTTATGTAGGGTTATGCTTTTCAGCTTGATAAATCTCTTAGGGAAAATCTTTCCAGAACACTGATCAGTAAATCCACAGGCTTGTATTTTGAAAACACATGGATTGTTGAACATTTTTTTGTTATTTTTTATTAATGTATAGGACAGACTTATACCCAACAAATCTTTAGCATTAAACACCTTCAAATCTTTTTTTTACTCAGAAAATAACTTGTGTGTACAAACCTACTGAGAAATTTCATATGTGCTGGAAACAGCCTTCCTACATGCATTTTAACCTACCATTAAGCATATATGTTTGCAGATTGCCAAAGTAACCATGAGCTATAAAGGTATTTGACCAGTAAAGAAAAAGGGAGGAATATATATTGCTTGTAACTACAGTTCTTTTTTAAATTAGTTCTTCTCAAGAATGGTTTGCTTGTTGTTGTGTTAGGATTTAATTTGCTGGAGGAGATATTAACTGATGAAAGAAGATGCATTCCTGCCTAGATGGCAGAAGATAAACAATGTACATGCTGATTAAAGATTGACTGATGAGGTCTTGGTCCAAACAGAGACAGGCAACTGGCCTAGTTTTACTTTTATGGCAGGAATCTGATAATAGTAGTAATTGACAAGAAGGGGAAGCAATTTAAAACAAACAGGAGTTACAAAGCTGTTTCAGGTAGCCACATTAATTACAGCACAGATGGGGTAATTATTGCGATCTTCATTTTTTCAGGATTACAGGGTCAGTCAAATTGATTTGTATACAGAACCTGAAGGGCTAGGAATCGTGACTTCCTTTTTTGACGACACAGAGGAAACAGGGGTGTTTGGCAGCACTCAGAAGACTTGTTCTATCAAAGTACACTGGGGCATGTAAGTGCATAGTTTTGTGTGAACGTGTACTGCTATGAAAGGAATTTCTTTTAAGCCATTGATTACATCTATCAGCCATGTAAGCAGGCTGTGTTTATTCCAGTCAGACATTTTGGTAGTTCTTGTTGACTGTAACATTGTTACATCATTATAATGCTTCATACCTGGTTAGGGTGACACCTTATAATGTTTTATTTTTCTTTTAATTGCATGGGGTAAAAGAATTTGCAGTAAAAGTATGAATTTTCCTCTGCTGCTTTTTCACATTCAGGCAAACTTATAAGAAATGAGAGATGTCTCACCATAGCATTTTACCACCACATTTCCTACCTGCTTTTATCTCTAAACTTGAAATGATTGTACTGAACATTTTTAAGCTGTCATGTAATGAAGTAAGGCCTGGCATGAAATGTGGTCTCGTGAAAGCATCCTTTTATTTCACAGTGCATTTTAATTGATCAGTATTTATACTGACAATTAAGAATGTATACTATGTCACCTGAAAACATACAGCCATGTAAATTAGGATTATAATGCATGCCATGAACTAAGCAAAGTTTTGTGATAGAGGAGGCCAAGGAACAATCCAGTTACTGTAGAAATGATAACTTTGATAATGTAATAAGTATATCATTACTTAAAGTATGCCTTAAATTGGCACCAGCAAAATTGGTGTGAAAAGAAGGGAAACTGCATTTAGAAACAGGGAGTATAACTGCTTTTAGTGGTCCTGGGTCCTGCAGAATGTTTTGCAGGGTGTACAGACCTGGTGGCTGTGCCATGTTTGGGTTGTGGTAGCATTTGCCTTTTTGCTAATGGTATATTTAACTGTTGATAATTGCCCAACTAAGGATTAGTATTACATAACACTGCAAAGAGATATTCAAATACATCTCATGATGGATGAGGCACTTTCATTATCAGATAAAGGTATTTTATCTGATGAATTTTTCACACTGATTTTGGAGGAACACAATGAAGCACTCAAGCATGTAGGAAAATTTTAAGATGTTCACATAGTTGGTTCTCTGTCAGAAGCTTATTTATGTTGAACTGCAAACTCATTCCAAATTACATGTCTGCCAAGAGTAATAAAATCAGATACGTTATTTGGAGGTTGATTATTAATTTGCTTCATTTACCTTCCAACTTTGTTTCTGTTCTCACTTGGAAGCATTCTGTGAATAGTGAAATAACAATTTTTTAGTAAAGGAAGCAAGGCCTGTGCAGTTTGTGTAAACTCTTTAAAGTCTAAATTTCTCTAAGCTGTGTTTCGATCTCTTGAAGAAAAGTGGACTAGTATTTTCACTGTGAATCAAATTAGGTCTCTGTTACCAATTCTTTATCCAGGAAAGATGGAAAGGTGGAAAGATGTTACTTCTGCCAATTGGTTGCATAAGAAATACAGTAAATTGCTGCTACTTTTTTTTGTGTGTGTGTTGCAGGGTTCTTTCTTTCCCTTAGTTTGCAGGCATGACAGTTCACTGTCCTGGCAGCTGAGGAAGGTTTGATTCTGAGTCACTTCACCGTGTAGGTGTGGTTGGATCTGAAAGTTTCCCACTGTGTGTGCTTAAATGTGTTTATTAAAAGCTGCCAACAAAAATGAGGCAATGCACCATTATCTTCTGATTGTATTCTCTTCTTGGTTTCTCATGTACTTAAAATTCTTCTGTGAAGCTGAGAGCTCACTGAGTTGGGTGGCTATAGGACACACAATACATTCAGTATTTGGCTGTACATGTCAGTAAAAGCAAAGTTCTTTGTTTCTTGGAACCACGTGTTTGCAGTGAAGCTAGACCAACGTGTGCCAGTTTACATTAGCTTAAAGTGTGAGATTAATTTAATTATTTATCTGCCTCATGTCACCAGACTTATACATTATGATCCTTAAGCAGGCAACCTTTTGGTTGTATAAGGTGTTTCTGCTTAGTACTTTATGTCCTGCCTCATGCTGCATGTCTGAGAGACTGGTAGATCTTATTGGGAGAGACACATTGTGACCCTCAATGCAGAGGTCAGCAGTAGATTTCTGTGTTGCCAGTAAGTGATTACTGGTCAAGATTTTCTTGAAAATGCTTTGAAAAACTACTGTTGCTGTCAGTATGTGTGTGGTAGTATGTAAGTCAGGAATGTTGAAAATGATGCCTTTCAAAGTAGACTCATTAGCAGATACAAACCATGAAGAAGTAGATTTCAATGGAATCAGTGTTTTGTGGAGTTTTTTGTTTGATTTGGTTTGGGTTGGTTGGTTGGTTTGTTTTTAACATACTAATAATACAAGTTTTGAGTTCCCTATCGAGTAGATTTTTCAACAAATGCAAGTCTAGGTTCATAGAGTTCTTTCAACTTCTGGAAAGTCTGATGTGAATATTTTTAAGGCTATTCTAAAATAATACACAATAGCCTTAAGTCTTGAAAATTCAGTTCAAAACTTGTGTTGCTCCCAAATAAGACAGTCAAATTCTTGATTGTCTGTTCACAGCATTTTAGATATATATATATATATATTTTTATATATATATATATATATATATTTTATTTTTTTTTTACTTGTTCAAACATGCCACATGCATTGGTAAGCTGCTTCCCTTCACAAATACAGAAGTTTGCAAGTGCACCAGTTTATAGTTGGGAATTTTGATGGTATAGACAAAGAAACAAAGTTTTAGGGGTACACTATTTCTTTTTTTTTCTTTTTTCACCTGAGTCGTTCGTTTTGTTCTTTTCTGTTCACAAATTATTACTTCTCTGATTTAGGATTTGTTTTTTATGGTTTGGTTTTTTGTTGTTGTTATTGTTGGGGGTTTTTTTGTTTTGTTTTGTTTTTTTATTTTTTTTACTTTTTGCTTTCTACTCCCCCTTTGCTTTAGATGGCTAATTTATGAAGAACCCGGTTTCCAGGGAGTCCCTTTAATGTTGGAGCCTGGTGAATATCCCAATTTAGCTTTCTGGGAGAAGAAGGAAGCCTACATTAGGTCTATGAGGCCCTTGAAAATGGTAAAATGTCGTTATTACTTGCCAGCTATGTGACCTTCACTTATATATTAGAAGCAGTGTCTTAAGGTGGCTACATTTTTTTCAGGACTCATAGAAATGTAAGTCTAAAAACCACAACATTTTAATCTATGAAGTTCTTGATTTGCATCCATTTCTGCTTTTGATCTTCCTAGTTTTCACATGTATTCTACAAAATAGCTTTCATTCTAATTCCAGATTTTTATGAAGAATTGGAGATGATTTAGACTACTCATTTCTCTCTCTCTCTCTTTTTTCTTCTCCAATAGGGTGGCCGCAAAGTAGAATGTCCTGGAGACCCAAAGGTAAAAATCAGTATTTATTTGGTTGTCCTGTTATCACACATCAACTATGTGTGGATAGATAAATATATCTTGGTCACATACTGCCTGCTTAGTGGCTGGTCATGCTGCATGTGACCGCACTATGAAACTGCAATTTGTCTAATTTATGCATCTATTATATATGCAAATATCAGTATTAACAGCTACCTGCATGATGCAGACAGGTAATGAACATTTAAATCCTAATGTTGCATGTCTAAGGGAAGACATCCTGAAAAGAGAGATCATGAATTACTTTCATAATCACAGAATAGCCTGGGTTGGAAGGGACCTTCCAACCCTTCATGAAAGGATCATGAAGCTCCAATGCTCCCACCACAGCTGGGGCCACCAACCTCCCCATTGAGTACTAGACCAGGCTGCTCAGGGCCCCATCCAACCTGGCCTTGAACACCTCAAGGGATGGGGCAGCCATAGCCTCTCTGAGCAGCCTGTTCCAGCACCTCACTACTCTCATAGTAAAAAACTTCCCCCCTGACATCTAACTTGAATCTTCCCTCCCTCAACTTAAAACCATTTCTTCTTGTCCTGCCATTATCAACCCTTTCAAAGAGTTGATTCCCCTCCTGTTTGTAGGCTACCTTTAGATATTGAAAGGCTGCAATGAGGTCACCCCACATCCTTCTTTTCTCCGGGCTGAACAAGCCCAGCTCCCTCAGCCTATCTTCCTAGGGGAGGTGCTCCAGTCCCCTGATCATCTTCGTGGCCCTCCTCTGGACCCTTTCCAACAGAGATAATCTTCTCCCTTTATGCAGCCATGCAAAAGAAACTGACTGCTATCAGAATTTATCACGCTCTTTGCAGCTTTTCTTTTATTTTGTTTCTGTGACAGGTAGTCATTTATGAGAAGCCTTTCTTTGAAGGGAGACATGTGGAAGTAGAATCAGAGATCTTCATGCTCAGTGACAAGGAATCAGAAGAAAAGACACAACTTTCACTTACTTCAATGGGATCCATCAAAGTACTGGGAGGAGTGTAAGTATGGGGAAAAAACACTAGCAGTATTTCCTCATCAGCATTAAGTGTTAACTCTATAGATTTGAAACTGCAGTGGATAAATTCAGAAACTATTTGGTTTTGATTTTAGATTTACATCTGGGTTAAATTTGGAAATAATCACAACAGTGGCTGCATTCTAGCCAATACTTTTATAACTGCAGTTTCACAGAGGTTAGAGAAGTGGTAGAAGGGCTGTCAAGCAGTTAGAGCAGCCTACATCTGCTAACTTTTCTCTCTCCTCTTGTGATGTTGTTTCTATGTTTTTAACTCCATGCATTGAAGAGTTGCAGAATTTCATCTAGCTTTGGTTAGAGAAGGATACAAAGCTTCTCAAAGTGCCTTGGAAGTCCTGTATCATTACAAGCCAGGAGGAGTTGCTGTATTTTTTTTTTTAGGTCTTGTCTTTCTACCTGGCTACACTGTTTCAAAACAGAGTGGTCATCCTAATGTAAATCTTCACTTTTTTCTTCCACCTCTGGCATGTTTTGCAAATATTTTTATTAGACTTTTTTTTTTTTTTCCCCATTTGAAATTGTAATGTAATTAATGTCAGTGGGAAAAACATTTAGGAGACGTCTATATCTTCAACAGAAGATGGGGGGAAAGAACAAATTTCACACAACATATGGTGGCCATAGTCCATTTTCATGCACAGTCTCTGTTGTTGTTTAGTTGGGTCGCATATGAAAAGCCTGGGTTTGAAGGCCATCAGTATTTACTGGAAGAAGGAGAATATCGGGACTGGACAGACTGGGGTGGCTATGATGAAGAGCTGCAGTCACTGAGACCTGTTGTTGGTGTAAGTTCCAAGAACATAGAGTTGTTATCTCCTGAGCACACTGAGGCATCACGTAGCTTTCTTCTTATGGCACTTCTTTTCTTTTTTTAACAGGACTTCACAAGCTCACATATGATAATGTACAGTGAAAAAGACTTCGGATCAAAAGGTTCTAACATTAATGTGTTAGGAATTGTTTCCAATTTGAAAGACACTGGATATGGGCTGAGAACGCAATCCATAAATGTGCTGAGTGGCGTGTAAGTGCTGTTTTAACTGCTGTTTAGTAGTGCATCTGCAATTTCTAGAATTTTTGAATTTGATCATGCTTTTTCGTACTTGGTCTTGTAGTGTCTCTGTTTTGTCCTCAGATAAAAATTTCTGCTTTTGACTGGAGCGTGTTGGCTACAACACTGAGGTGTTGGTTTGCTGACTAGCAAAGTATGAAAGTGAATGAGATAAAATCGGAGAGATAAAAATAGTTGTTCTCATGGCTGTATTTTTAGAAGCATTTCAGCAGCAAAATTGTCATGGAATTAATTTCTGATTTTTGCTTGGGCTTCTTGTGCTTGACCAGAGGCAAATTACTTACTCTTTCTCAGAGTTGTGTATAAAATGGTGTTTCTTTCTGAAAAGTAGCATTACTTTTGCAGTGAATACCACAATTAAAATTTTTTATCTTTTTTTTTCGGAGGGGTGGGGAGGAGTGTTGTTTATTAAGGTTCTTAAAACTATTGGTTGGTGTGGCCATGTCCTCTGCTTGGTGTCATTTGTGCTGTCACACGCAGTTAATAAGTTGGCGTATCTTTCTGTTTGATTTGTTGGTTACATTAATTGCAGATTGAATTCCACAGCCTTGGAGACAGCATCGAAGTATTTTGGAAATATAAACAAATATTAGCAGTCATGTCTCCAAGTACCAAAATCTGAGATATAGTTTCTTTCTCTGGAATGCAGGTGACTTGCTGAGAGCTCTGCCTTACCCAGCCACACCTTAAGTCTTTCTGCATGTTATCTGTGTGATATCTCTGCAAATTTTGTCTGGGTAAAGACTGTAGAATTGAGCTCAGTGCATTTCAAAGGAATGCTTTTGATTTCTGTATGAAAGTTATGCGACAGCAGTTTTTTCTGCGTAGTGACCTTTGAAGCCGCTGTGCCCTTATGTCTTCTGTAATATGCAAGGAAGATTCATGGGAAAGAATCTCCTCTGAAGGTTGGGAAACAAATTGTGGGTGCCTATCACGCCCTTTGTGTAGTTGTTCTAGTAAATGTGACTGTTGCAGCTGAGATAGGAATCGTACTTCAGTATGAGTATTCTAGTAATTAAGAGTGACTCCGATACTTTGATGGTAAAATTGGCTAGAAGTTATTACAAACAAAACCCTTGTCCCACAGACTGCTCCTGTTCCTGTAATCTTACTTGCTAGTCTCTTAAAGGTGTAATTTGTAGCAATAAGCATGTTTTTTATTTAGGTGTATTGTTTGTAACAAGTTACTATCAGTCCAGTTTTACAGTCTGGTACGAGCATTTTGTATCCAAAGATGTTGTGAGTGTTGCAGCATTTTGGGGTAGTGGTCTTAGTAAATGCCAATGTGACAGGAAGTTGAATCATGTAAAGTCATGATTGGCAATAAAACTGTTTTATTTTAAGCATTAAGTAACCTCAAGTAGAATTTTTTTTATATCTTTCCTACCAAGAAATCAGTCATACAGTGATGAATAATCCATTGAGCAATTCCTAGATCTATTTAGACTAGCATATAAGTGATGTCGTATTGAACTGTTTCAGGTTCAATAAAAGCTTGTAGTAGTATTTCTAAGTAACCTTCCTGGTGTCGTACTGAAAATACTTCATTTGAAAAAGAAAAAGTGAACTGTAAGAAGCCCTGAACTTTTCCCTAACTTTTTTCTTTCTTAACTACAGGTATCTGTAGTAAGCAGATATAGCAGTAATAGATAACATGTAATCTGTATTTCCCACATAATGAGTTTGATTGCTCTGTAATTTAAAGGGTATATCAAAGAAAAGAAAGGCTGAGACAGCAGAACGTAGATACTACTGAACAACTTCTGAGCTAAACTGCATCTCTAAACTGTATGCTGAAGACAGCACAGCTCTGCATTTGGGGAATGAATATTTTGTTTTGGGGGCAGTGGAGAGTGAGCTGCATTAAGATTTTCAGCTGTTGTGTCTGAGGAATGTTTCTAAGCAATATTTTAATGTCTTGGATAAATCCATTCTAAAGACACCTTGAAAAATATATACAGAAGTGATGAGTGAGTATTGACTTCTTTTAAGTTGATTTATGTTTTGCTCTCAAGCATTCTTCAGAGATTGGCCAAGCACAGAATCCAGGGCATTCTATTGTACCGTTTGGTTTAGGAGAAAATAAATTCAGATTGCTTGAAAATAGGAGAGGCCTTTTTTTTTTTTTTTTTTTTTTTTTTTTTTAAAGTAGGATTTGATCTTTTCTCCCAAGTTGGCAGAACTGAAAGTGGTGGAAAATGAAAGTATTTAATAGCAACGGGTAACACCCTTTACAAGTTTAAGCAAGTACTTAAAGCAGCTGCGTTGTATAATTTTGACTTTCCTCTTTGCTTAATAGTCCTTCCAGCTTATGTTTAATGGTTATTAAAATCACAAGAATTGCGTGTTTCCGAATGTGCCTTTTCTTTATCCATAAACATGGGAAGCTTTTGCCAAAGTTAGTGAAAAAGCCCCTGTATTTCAGTTGATCCTTTCTTTAAGTATGTGGAAGAATGTTTTCAGGGGTGTGTTCTGCACAGGTATTTGTTTTACTGTGGTCTTGTAATTCATACTGGTTTCCTTCTGATTTTCAAGTGATTAGTCCACAGCACAGATTTGTCTGCTTCTAGTGCATGTCTGTTCAGTAAGGAAATCGTTAAGTAATGGGTAGTTTGCAGATAGTAGTCAAAATATAATATATTGAATCTAAATGCATTCAGGATGGTAATGTGAGTGGAACTAAGGAGGCACTGTACAGGAACAAACGCCCATTGGGTTCTTTAATAGGTAAGAGGCCTTAGGTTGCCTGCAGGACATTTCAAACAGAGTTTTCTCTTTCCCTCCATCTCTGAACTGAGCTAAAGTGATGTTGAACAGAACAAAAAGTTCACACATCTGTGGGACACTAGAAATCACAAGCACAAATGAGAATGGTAAATAACACATTTCCTTTCTTTCCTACAAATGGAATTTAATTACCTCTTCTTTCCTGTTAGTCATTCAAGTGCCTTTTTTTCCTCCTTGGCTCTACGTGGACTATGAGATTAACATATAGACCAATTTAAACCTGTTGTCTACATGTAGTATTTAAGGTTTAAATGTTATGGATTCTATTTCAGACCTACGGGAGATCTTCTGTGCCTGAAAGCTTAACTTTTTACAGCTGTGTCATTTAGTTTAATACTAAGGTGTTTGATTCTATGATTTCTTCTGTAGCCGAGAGAGAAGGAAGCAGGTGCTCACAGCAGGTGATTTGTCCTACTATATATGAGTCTGAGCAACACTGAGAGCAGGATTCCAGCATGACAGGCAATGCAAAGGAATGAGGACTTTGGCACACTTTTGGCAGTGACTTGGGATGAGGCTGTTGCTTGGCCTACTTAAGGCAGTTTGTTGGGATGAGGGTTACCAAATTATTATGTTAAGGAAAGTTGCTCCCTGTAGGGTAGGCTGCAGTCTAAAACTTCAGTTCTTGTGGTGCTGAGGTGTGACTCTTCTGCTTAGATATGGAAACTAGGTCTTGTGTAGGCCTTCCTGTTGGTCAGAAGTTGGATTAAAACAGTGCTCTGTCCTAGGGATAGTCTTGAAGTTTGAGAGGTTCAGCTGGTGCTGCATTCAGTTTTCCCCTTCCTGCTGCTGTTATCGTGCTGCTGGAAGGCTGTGTGGGCTTCTGAAAAAGTGAAAGAGCACAGGGATTTCACCAGCAAGCCTTGACTCCAGAAATTGTCCAGTATGGGCTGACTTGCATAGAAGAGCAAGACTTATTAATTTAAATCCCACTGTTTTTCGCATAAACACGCTTAAAGTTTCATTGCTTCTGTACTCAGGCTTCTTTTTAGAAAGGAGGAAAAGAAATGCCTGCTATTGAGAGGCCCCTAGAAGGGATCTGGCATGTTTTATGTTTCACTTAATATCAGAAACACTTGTTTTCATAAATATCAATTAAGTTCAACTGTCACGCATTGCAGTTGTACCTTGGTATTAGTGCATTGAAAAATCAAACATGAATCCACTCAAGAAATTGATTAATGAAACCTGATTTTCTTTTGGTATATGTGGCATACAGGTCTAAACACACCTGAGACATTTGAACTTTCAGCTTAATTTATTCTACATACCAGTGTCTCTTTGATGAATTACTATGAGGCAATTTTGAAATGTGCCTTGAAAAGTGCCTTAAGTAATTAGTGCATAACAATTTGGAATAATTGATTATATCTGAGGCAAACCAAGAGATGTAAATAGTGATAAACGTGAATCACTCTATGAGTGCTTGCCATGGACAAATAACAGGAAGTCCGTACTCGCAGCATGTACGTGTTGCTGTAGCTATATTCGGTTTGAAGTCACCTCACTTCTTGTCTGTGCAGAGAATCTGGCATTTGTTCTTGGACTAAACCTGCAGCTTAATGGAATATAACACATGTAATGATGTCAGGTTTTTTTTTGTTGCTGTTGTTGGTGTTGACCTTCTGTATGAAGAACCTACTGAAAGCATGTTTTGAAATAAGCTAACATGCACTCCTTATGTAATGCATAGGAAACAATGAAAAGCTATGGGTAGATTGTCTTGTATAACCAAGAAGATGTCCCAGTCCATGCATAAATATAACAAATGAAAGAATGAAACTCAATTGTTATCACAGAATCATAGAATGGCCTGGGTTGAAAAGGACCACAATGATCATCTAGTTTCAACCCCCTGCTATGTGCAGGGTCACCAACCACCAGACCAGGCTGCCCAGAGCCACATCCAGCCTGGCCTTGAATGCCTCCAGGGATGGGGCATCCACAGCCTCCTTGGACAACCTGTTCCAGTGCGTCACCACCCTCTGTGTGGAAAACTTCCTCCTAATATCTAACCTAAACTTCCTCTGTCTCAGCTTAAGACCATTCCCCCTTGTTACTGTGACCAGTTCTAATGTCGGTACTTTTTTTTTTAATTAAAAAAAAAAAGAAAAAGTCTGTCAGTGAAAGGCAGCAGAATTTATGTAGCTTGTGACAAAAATAAGGGAGTGCTGATGCAGGAGCACTGACCCTGGATTGGAAGAATGCCGTAAAAGTTTACTTGAGCGTAGTAGACTACATGTAGCAAGACCAACTGATAGCAGGTACTTCAGAGCAGAAATAAAGCACTGCAGTGATAATTGAGTGTTGGAGAGACTGTGCAATGATTTGGTTGCTTTTCTAGTAGTTCACGTTTGTCTTAAAAGTTAACTGTTTCTGACTGAGACTGAAGTTGTGAGTTTGAAGCAGAAATCTGAGTTTGTGGCCTGTATCAGGAATGAGGTCTGACTAAATAGTCATACTAATTGCTTTGAGTTTATATACATTAATCCAATTAAATTTTTGATGGCTTTAATGCTAAACGATCAAGGAAATTCTTCCTGCTGATGTCTGTGAACCCCAGCAGGTTCACAGGCGTCACACTCTACCACCATTAGTATTTATACCTTTTGTTGTACCTTAACTTTCTGCAGATTTCTGAGTGTTTGCTTAAAAACATCTGAAGTTTTGTAATATTGACTTTTAATGCTGCCTGTATATGTCTTATTGCCCAAATTACTCTCAAAGTTAGTTTTAACGAAACAATATTATTCTGATATTTGCCTGATATTCTGGAGAGAAAAACTTGATAAAACAACAGAATTTTGAAACATTTCAATGATTTTACTGGAGACAGCTTTTAAGGTATCTAACAGACCATAGAACTATAGAATCACCAAGGTTGGAAAAGACCTCCAAGGTCATCCAATTCAACCATCCATTTACCGCCAGTATATCTCCACTAAACTGTGTCCTTCAGTACAACATCTAAATGTTCTGTGAATGCCTCCTATGATAGTGACTCAACGACATCCCTGGGCAGCCAGTTCCAGTGCCTGATCACTCTTTTGGAGAAGAATTTTTCCCTAACCTCCTGAACCTTCCCTGATGTAACTTAAGTCCATTCCCTCTTGTCTTGTTGCTAGCTATGCAGGAGAAGAGTCTGACCCCCACCTTGTCCCAACCTCCTTTCAGGGAGTTGTAGAAAGCGATGAGGTCTCCCCTCCCCTGAGCCTCCTCACCTCCAGACTGAACAATCTCAGTTCCCTCAGCTGCTCCTCATAGACTTCTGCTCCAGACCTCTCACCAGCTTCATTGCCCTTTCCTGGGCATACTCCAGAGCCTCAATGTCTTTCCTGTATTGAGAGTCCAGAACTGAAAACAGTACCCTCTGAGTGCAGGAGAGATGATCACTTCCCTGCTCCTGCTGGCAGCACTATTTGTGATGCGGGCCAGGATACCTTTGGTATTCTTGGCCACCTGAGCGCACTGCTGCCTCATGTCCAGCTGAGGATCAGCCAATGTCCCCAGGTCCATTTTCTCCACACAGTCTTCCAGTGCTCTGCCCCAGGCCTATAGCACTGCCTGGGGTTGTTGTGGCCAAAGTGCAGGACCCAGCATCTGGTCTTGTTGCACTTCATCCCACTGGCCTGAGCCCAGCTGTCCAGACTGTCTAGATGCCTCTGTAGGATCTTCCTACTCCCATGTAGATCAGTACTTCCTCCCAACTTGCTGTCATCTCCAGACTTACTGAGAATGCACTCCGTCTCCTTATCCAGGTCATCAATGAATATATGGAACAGGTCAGATGATGTATTTGAACTTGTGGTCTGATTTAGTTTATTTACTCTGGATCATATTGAAATAGTGGGGCAAATTGAAATAGAATTTGCAAGAGTTTTGGAGAACCAGATCCATAATTTTGTTGATTTAGAGATTTAATAGCATTGCAATTTAGCATTTGAGGGGATAAAATATCGATTTGTTCTTATGTGAAGGTATAATGAATATACAGTCTTGCATTTTGGAAAAAGTAACATGACACTTACCCACTGGCTTTTTTTTCTCTTTCTCTTAGGTGGGTGGCTTATGAGAATCCTGAATTTACAGGAGAGCAATACATACTGGATAAAGGGCTATATCCCAGCATTGAGGCATGGGGGGGGAAGAACTGCAAAATATCTTCAGTTCAACCCATTGTTATGGTAAGGGATTAATTTTATGCTTCTTTTGCAACTGTCTTTGAAGTATTTCTAGGTATTTCTTTTTCTACTGAATCCAACTTACATGCTGTCGTATACATTCTTTAAGCAGTGATTAATAATAAACTTTTCAATGTTTGTTTATTTAGCACTTCTTAAATTTTTTTTTTCTTTTTTGTTCTTCAAATTTTTGTAGGATATTGTTGGAAGTGAAAGGGGTAAAGTCAAGGTAAGATATTTCTTTAAATGCATGAAACATACTCTGTAGTGGTCTGTGTAACATCAGTAAATGGGATCAAGCTTTTTGTATACTGTAGCACCCAGGTTTTTGCATAGATAGTCCATTAGTCAAAGAGTGGGAATGCTAAGTGAAGAAGGAGGGCTGCTTTCTGAACCTCCTAACTAAGACCATGAAAGTCCTTGGAAGCTGGAATGTAATATAGCTGTCCTTAGAAGTTTTCTGAGGCCAAGTCAGTGTTTTGGGTCTGTAGGTGTGCTATTTGAGAGTATTAGAATTGTTCTGAAGATCTGGAGCCTATGCCCATCTATGCAGAGCTTCAGTGACCAGCTGAAGTTACCTGGAGTCTGTTGCAGAAGTTAATTGTACTCAATAGTTGTGACTTTGTTTTCAACCTAGTTCCTTTGTTAACTGTTCTGCTAGTGGTGGTTGCACTTGAAGTGAAACTCATTCAGTCACAAATGCTGCTTTCTGAGTTGGGCTTAAAAGTTAACATCATATTTGTCAATAAAAAAGAGAAGGAAATGGCAAAGTGAATTTGTCTATTCAGTGGGTCAACAAAATTTTTGTTAGACTTTCTCCTGTGTGCAAATACTAGAACATTCTTTGACAGTGGGACTAAAGAGGAGCCTTTTTTCATAATTCTTTCATAATTTTGAACCTTTTTGTCTGTAGGGAGTTGTTACTTTCATTTCAGTCAAAATGGTGAATGTGTCATGGAACTGAAAACCAGGGAGAAAAGTCTTGGCTTTCCCAATTTGCATTCATAATTAGTAACACGCCTTACTGGAGTATCCAGTATAGGAATATGTATGAACTCTGGGGAATAGAAATCTCCAGGCTGCTTATTTTCTTCTATATGCATGAAAAAATATTTACGACTATAGACTTTATCCTAAGGAAACTAAGAAATAATGGCTTGTAGTCAACAGACTGTATCCTTTGTCAGCATGTTCCTCTTTGGAAAATGCTGTGCATGCCTGCACTCGTATCTCTGCTAAGAGTGAATAAAGCTGGTAGGCATGTGATAATGTGAATGACTTCTGTGTGATCAGAGTTAATTGTCTTCTAACCAAATTAGCAGGTTTGCTATTTAGAATTTTTTTCCTTTTAACAAGGACAAAAGACTGGGTGACTTATCCTTTCATACCCTCTCCTCCTCAGAACACAGAAAGAAAGAACTGACATGACTTCAGCTATAGTTGCAACAGGCACATAAAGCCCATCTGCCCCAAGAATATTTACCACACCTGTTGGCATGCTGTTTCAGTACTTTGCCAGGACTGTGCACCACTTTGCTCTGAGACACAGATAAATACTGCTCATAAGAGGAGTATGCATTTTTGAGATTAAATGGATTAAGAAATTAAAACAGAACAGTTTATTACCCTTTTCTAATCATGTGCCTATTCTATCTGTTGTGTGGGGATTTATGTCTTCTCCAGCAGATAGTTAAAGTAGCTACCTTTGTTAGTGTTCTTTGAATTATTTTGTATGCTGCTTAATTTACAACCAGAGGTGTTTTTTGGCTTTGCAGCCCTTGTTTGGGTAATGACACTGAAAATGTAACAAAAGTCTATGAAGCTGAATTAATCTGGATATTGAATATATAGTAATGCAGCTATAGAAGTAATGGTAGAGATGTGTTGATGAAGGTTAAAGCATTAATTGTTTTTAAATATGTTCATGACTCTTTAAAGGTCCAGTTATTTTCAGAGCCTGAATTCAAGGGTAACTGTCAAATACTTGAAAAAAGCACAAGATGTATTGATTCATTTACTGTGAAGTCTTCAAAAGTTTTAGGTGGCAGGTAAGTTATATCAAACAAATATTGAAAAATCACTGAAATGGGTAAAAATTTTAAAAAAAAAATAATAATAATAAAAATAATCAAACGGCTTTCTAACATCTGAAATGGTTTTACCTGTGGGAACTTACAAAGAACAATGCTTTGTGGTATGCACACATACGCATTGATATTTAGCTTATCAGGACAAAACATTGTACGTGATGTTTCTGCAAGTACCTCTTACTAAAGACTCAGAAACACTACCATCATTTTATTTCCACAGTTTTCCTAAAAGACAGTTTCTTCTGCTTCTTCCTGCAGCTGTATAGTTTTTGACCAGGAAGAATTCTCTGGTAACCAGTATGTGTTAGAAGAGGGAATCTATCCGGATCTGATGGCAATGGGGTGTTTGTCCCAAGCAGCTCTAAAATCTTTACGGATTGTAAATATAGTAAGTAAAGCAGATAAGTACACTGATGTTTCCCCTCCTTTTTCTTTTTTTCTTTTTCTTTTTTTTTTTTTTCCTTTTGTGACAATAAAAATGTTAGGGGTATGTAAACAGTAGAACAACACTCTTCTTTTTCCTGTACAACAGCAGTGAAACATCCTATCTGCAGTCAGTTTTTGTACCTCTATGCCATTTTTTGCAAAAGAGAGGACTTCACAGAAACAGGTGTCTGGCATTGCTGTTCTCCATAGCAGCTTAAAAAGGACTTCCATAAAGATAGTTAAGGATGTGTCAGATTCTTATTTCCCAGTAGAAGAGATCACTTAAAATAAGTTGACAAATGGCAGTAGGACAGCGTGAAGTAATATTTGTATTCAGATCATTGTTTTTTACTCATGTTAAAAGAGCAAACTTCAGCTAAAGAACTTTGCATGAGATACATATAATTATAAAACGTTATTTGTATCATCAGGGAAATGCAATTTGTTTTCATTGTGAAATGATGTACCCTTCTAGATAAAATAAAGCAACACCCCATGCCATTTGGCAAAATCAGACACTGTTGTTTTGTGTGTTGGATACAAACCTAAACAACATTTACATATTTTGTAACTCCTCAGTGGTCAGGAACAAGTTTGTTCAAGCCTGTAACCAATCATTATGATGGATCACTTACGGAAACTGCAAGTATCTCTTAAGATCAAAGTAATTACTAGCAAAATGTAGTCAAGAATCCAGGAACTTAATGCAACTTTACAAAAGAGGTGGTACTCATTCTAAAAATGGAGGAGTACCTTATTGACTCTCCTCTTTGAATCTGGCAACTGTATTGCAGTCCACTGTAATTTTGGTAACTTGTTAGTGATGTAGCAGTTGACAAAGGAGAACTAAAATGTGTCATCCTCTTTCATGTCTCTGGAGCATTGTCTCTGGTACAGCGTAAACAAACATTTGCAGTAAGTATGTCTGCCTTGTGAACTCTTTGACTATCCTGTAGACAAATGGCATTAAGAACAACAGAAGTTGTTCTAGCCAAACTTGGTGGGTGGTCACCACGGATTAAAATAGGCTCTTCTGTACGTATCAGTATCAAGCTCTTGGGTCTTAAATGCTTATTTCACACTAGTAGGATTTTTCTCCTGAAAAATTTTTCTTTGTCACAGAGATTCTTGTGTTAAAACGGCCAAATGACAGTTCTTGAGGTTCTTAAAGCTTCTGAAAATTGTTCTTGCCCTACAATTTATCACACTTCAAACAGTGGTAACGAGCTGTGTCTATCTGCAGGTTTTGTAGTGGTGCTTTCTTCTTCAGAGACTTCTTACCTGAGAAGAGAAAAATGGCTTGCTTTACTCAGTTGTTTATTAACGATAGTACAGAGAGTAAGAAGTTAGATGAAAATGATGATATTATACTGTTCATTTTTCATAATTTTATGCAATCTTGAATTTATTCTTGGTACCAGTTTTATCTGTCACATTTATTTTGTGGCTGATTTTTGGCAGTGACATTCTCTATTCCTCCCCACCATTTGCTGGGCCTACAACTTTCCCTGTGATTCTTCTGTCTGTTTCTATCCAAGAAGCACCTTTTTTTGCTTTAATATGCAAAGCTGGTGTAACTACCCAGCTTAGCTCCATTTTGCAGAGATCCATTTCTAAGGGACCATTAAAAGAACAGCATAAGGGATATTTTATAAACTTGGAAGTGAAAGTTAAAAGGGCTTTTATTCATAATCTCAGTATCTTTGCTTGATTGTCCTTACTTTGCATGTTCCAAGTAGTTGTTACGGATAGAAAAGAGTGTTTTTCCTTTTTGAATTTGCTATGTGCACCTTTCCCTGAACATAATATAAATTCAACCATGGATGTGGTTTATACTTGAATAGTCATGCTGAAAATACTTGTTTTTAATGAGCAACTCTGTGAAATAGCTATATGTAGATATACTGAAGTCTGCAATGTACAGAGTAACGCATGGGAGGAACTGCAAGATAGATAACTCTAAGATGACCTTGCACTTCTTGCTGTGGGGAATATTTTGTATAACAATGTTGCTGCTGAATGTTAAATAAATAAGAATAAAAATGCCCAGAGTGGAAGGTGTGGTTGAAAATTGGAGGATTTCCTTTTTTCTCTGTGCTTTCTTTGTAATTAGATTATTTCTGAACTATTGCATGTGGCTCAAGGGTGGCTGTCTGACCTGTTTTATATCACAGCAGGCAGGTGCAGGTCTGTAAAAGGGCTGAAGATTCAGAGATGCTGGGAAATAATCATGGTCCATGTTGGGCTCTTTACCCATGTTTATGCTTTAAAGTCTAAGTTGTGTTAACCTTTAATAGTGGGATTAGTCTACTCTGAATTTGCATTAAGCTGAAAGACCTCTCTGGTGTTTGCATGCACAATATTAGTTAGCAGAAAACAGGAGAATAAACAGCTCAGCTGCTTTGTGATAATCTGGACTACTGCTGAGATGATGGTGATGTTAACGTAACATTATCATCTGGGCCTTTGAACATCAAAAGGAAGGTTAAAGAAGAATTTTAGCACTGTCAAGAAATTGGTTGACATTAAATTTTTCCTTACAGAAGCAAAGGGAAGCATAGATATTCAGTGCTGTGTGCATGTAGAGCCATCTCAGTCTTGGCATGGCCTGTTTTCATGACTGAGATCATTGTGAGTCTCTTCAGACTTTGCTCTGTGTTGATGTTTCAAGTATACAAACACATCTCAGCAGTAAGGAACTCTTCTGTCTGTGGCATTGGATTTACTCAGTTGTGACTGGAAGACTGGTGAGAAAAAAAATGACCCTGCCTCTCCCTATCTGTGACTATAAGTTGTGCCACCAGGATACTCAGATTTAATTAACTTTACCCTGAGGGATTTCAAATCCTTACCTCCCAGTTTCCAGGGAGAGACCATAATTATGAGAGGCTGTTTCCAATCCACTAAAGGTATCTGATGCACAGAAAAGAATCCAAGGTTCGTTATCCAGAAAGCATTTAAAATAGATTCAGTGATGCAGGAAATTCTGTGTGGGTAGGAATCCTTTAAACCAAAAACATTTTGACAGAGAGAATGAAGAATCATCTCCCCAGAGCCATTTGGAAAATTCAGATGTTAGTTTTTGTCTGAGTCATGAATTTTACCTCAGAAGTATGAATCTTGACACTTTTGCCTGGTGATACTATCATAGTCTACTACAGAAGCTAAAAAAAATGGAAGCTGTGATGAACAAGCAATGCTGACAAGACTGTCGTAGTTTGAAGCTATAGAAACCAGTATTATCTGCGTGTTGAGATCTGAAAATGAAAATTCCTACAATGATTGGGGTTTACTGCAGTGGAAGAGAGGTATGGCGTTAATTAGAATGCGTTTTAAAACATAATTAAGATATGCAAGAATTGTCCACAGATTTTTGTGTGCCTTTATGATGAGCAAGTGTGATGTTGCATGCAAGAAGATCCCCTGTGTGTTTTCTATAAGGGCTTTTAATGACATTTTCATTTGTTTCTTTTAAGTATCCTGTTGCAAAGCAAAAACCTTTTTCAGGGTCTTTGAGTTGTAACAATCTGAAAACGGTGATACAAAAGGGGTTGCATGAAGTAGTGATGTTCACAGTCAGCGTTTTGGCTTTTAAATTCCTGTAAAAATGTTCATCTTCTTTGTGCAGGAGCTGTCTGAGCCATGCATAGCTCTTTTTGAAAAAGTGGGTTTCCAAGGGAAAAAAATAGAATTCACTACAGAAATCTTAAATCTCCGGTTCCTGGGATATAATCCTCGAATAGCTTCAGTTCAAGTCCTTGGTGGCACGTGAGTTTAAATTCACTTCTTGCATCTTTAGAATTATGTATTTATTCAACAGTGGGGGGGAAAAAAAAAAAAAAAAAAAAAACCCCCACAAAAAACCACAGGTGGTAGAAACTAAGGAGAATAAAATTGGAACACTGTAATGTGCATAGTGCATTAATGCACACTGCACTTACAGAAACTTACTTTCATCCTGATTCCACAACACTGTCACGAACTCGCAAGGAGGTGCCCTGTGATGTTCTAAGAAGCTGAAATGAATTTGAACAAAGCTCACTAGGAAGCGGGTCCCAACTCTCCTGCTAATATTATAAAAGCTAGCTTGCATAGCAATGTTAAATCTAACTTCTGTGCTTTTGCTTTAGGTCCTGATCATAACAAATCATAACAGTTTGTGATCTGTGATCTGTGTCTTGTATCCTAAGTTCAAAATATTTTAATAAGCTTTGTATTTGTTCTTTTACTTTGGTTTATGGACACTGATATAATGAGACTGTGATACAGCCCTTTTTGGTAGCATAGTGCTTGTAATAATCTCTCTTGAGGACTTCAGGTCTTCAGGAATTGAGTCAGACTCGTTACAAATCAATCAGTTAAATTCATTTAACTATTTCTCAGCAGTTGTATTCCCTATTCTCAAGAAGATTATGTTTAAATAAAATAAAAATAAAAATAAAAAAAAGCTTTCAATATCTCAACATATCTGTTAAATTTCTCTTCTTGTGTTTTTCTGGAGCTAATTTTTACCACCAAGATGTTTGCCTCAAGGTTTTCTACCTTGAAGAATCACATTTCTTTTTTTACTGTTCCTTTGCATTTAAATGTGTTCTTTTGAAGAGGTAAATTCCCAAGCATGTGCAAAAGATGCTGTTGGATAGCTCAATATTGCCCTCAAGTGGATAGTTAATACCTGGTCTGAAGTACGAACCATTTTCTCCACCTGGAGGAACAGGTCGAGGGATTTCCTTAGCTCACTGAACTGAAGTTTATTCAACTTGTAGTTTTTAAATGACTCCAAAATGTGAAATCCAGTGCACTCCAATTCTGTTGACCAAATAATAACATGATTTTGTTATTTTTAAGACCCATTAGGAAGAATCCTTGTGCTATCAGTTAGTGTTAAATATTTAACACTACTATTCTTTGGGGTATATTTCTGTTCAGTCTGTTTTTGTTTTTTTTATTGTTATTATTATTGTTGTTGTTGTTATTATTATTCTAAAGCAGATTTTGGCAGCAAAAGCATTATTTGTTTTTGTTTTTTTCTTTTTCTCCCCTCATAGATGGATAATTTATGAGCATAGTAATTACAGGGGACGTCAGATGTTGCTGTCACCAAATGAAATTCCAGATTGGTACAAACTGAGTGGCTGCTCTCAGATAGGTTCTCTGAGACCTTTACTGCAGGTGAGTGGCTGATGTGAGGTTGTGAAGTACTGATTTACTTAGCTGTGGGATGAGGCAGTATTACACAACTGAAAGCAATGTTAAAATCTTGCTGCACGTCAAAAGCTTCATTGATGACAATTGTGTGAAGAAATTGCTCTATGTTTTCACTGTAATAAATGCTATTTGATTATGCTACGTGGCTTTGTGTTACTGCTGCTTAAACTGTTCATTAGGATACTTTAAATGACAATATTGAAGACCATACATAAAGATTAGTGAGCAGTATTAACAACTAATGGTTATAAATACCATATATAGGTAAGTCTTGTCACTAGCTCCTCACTAGTATAGTCAGTAATATTTACATTATTTTTGGAGCAGCAACAAAAAAAATTGGTCAACAAAATTGGATTATTTCAAATAGGAGTGATACTGTGCTGACTGAAAAATCCTTTCTTGCTTACTACATACATTAGATTTCCAAATTATTTTTCTATATAAAACCTCCAGTATTGACATTTTTGTTTTGTTCAAATAGGGACCTTGTAATTTGGTCCAAATGCTGCAGCAATCCCCTGAGCCTTTGAAGTTCTTGCTGAGCTGTATTTTATTGAGGAAGCAACTGTAACTTACAGATTACTTGTACTGGTAACAAATGCTTACTGTCATGGAGCAGTCTTTGTGTAGCCTTAAGCACAGCTAGGAATAATGCATTTTGACTGCCCTGGCCAACACCTTGTCTAAACAGAAGTGAATGTGAAACAAGCCACAGCATGAATGTGAAGTGTAACACTTGATGCCAGTGAAATAAGCAGCACTGCACAAGTGCACCTTTTGTGAAGACTAGGAGCATCTACACAGAAATTTGCTGCTGTTCTGAATTCAACATTCTTAGCATCCCACTGTGCCGATCCCAGTGCACAGGGAAGCCTAATACTAGGTCTCCCCACAGAATGGCAGGTTTTCAAAGCTTGAATCATCTTACGCAGGTAGGGACTTTGTAATTCAATCCTAAAACAGAAAAGCAAGATTTCTGAAAGAAAGAGACACACCAGGTTGAGCACTGAGTAGTGAACTGCTCTGAAGTTTGCCAGAGAAGGGTATGCTGTACATGAGAGAGACTGTGGTTAGAGTTCTGTTGCTGTTGCCATTTTTTATTTTATTGTATTTTTTTCTACAGAAACGTGTGTACTTCAGGCTTCGGAACAAGGAGACAGGAAAGTTCATGTCAACTGATGGAAACTTGGACAATTTGAATCTTCTCAGAATACAGGCTGCAGAAGATGTAGACTCAGATGATCAAATCTGGGTTTATCAGGATGGATTCATAAGATGCCGGGTAGGATTCAAGTTCAGTGTGAATTATTTCTTTCCCTCTTCAATCACAGGGTTCACTGATTGAGTAGAAACTGAAATCGTCTTAGTTCATTGTCTAGGTTTATTCAATTTCAGCTGTATTACAGTATCTGTGGAGCTTTTGCTTAGTGTGTGTTTGGTGGCAGTTTGTTGCACTGAACTCTGGATTTTGTTTTAGGTGTCATATGAACCTTTCTTCCTGATGTCATTGAAAATCTGAGATTCAGTTATTGTATACTTACTTACCTTAAAGAATAGTAATCTTATAAATGATAGAATCATAGAACTGGCTGGGTTGGAAGGGACCATAAACACCACCCATTTCCAGCCCTGGGCCATTGTCAGAGCTGCCATCCCCAAGCTTAGCTGCCCAGGGCCCCATCCGACCTGGCCTTCAGTGCCTCCAGGGATGGGATGAACAAAACACAAACAGCATTGGAAGACCATCATCATGCTTTTAATGAGCTTCTTTTACTTTCTTGTCTTCTTTTTCCACAGCAAAAACATCGCAGCAGTATCAGGTTATATCCTATTCTGCGTTCAGACAAGCTTAAGAATGAAATTCTACTTTCCTCCCCCTCCTCTCCCCTCCGCTGGTTATTCCATGTTTGTCAAGTTCCATCCTTTTTCCATGCCTCCGTACAATTTCCCAAATGAGGTCCTACTTTTCTCACAGTTCATAAAACTAATTGTGTAAATTGTCATTGAGGTGAGCAGAAGTATTTGCAGTTCATAATGTTTAAGCATGAACAGTCTTAGGTAGGGATGCAGGCCAAAGAAAATTAAGTTACTTTAATACTGTTAAACACCTTGACTGTGAAGAATCATGTGAACTTTTTCTATAGGATTGTATAACTTCAAAAGCAGATGTTTATAACCACGTCATCTATGCTGGAGGGAAGAATCTTGCTGTTAATAAGCTAAGGCATTGTTTGGACGTGTTTACAGGACAGATGCAGTGGTAAAAGGGATTTATGCAGGCAGTGAAATTATATCCAGTAAGCTAAAAGCTTGAATATCATATACAAAAGACTTCCCTCAAACATTTAATTGCAAATTTTTATATCACGACAGCATGGTATTGCATGATTCTGGATAAAAGCTCTTTCGTTTTTCTTCTCTATGTATTTGATAGTGCAGTTTTGTTGTACGTGGAAAATGCACAGCTTGTTCTGTGTAGCCATCAGGTAACTCAGCATGAAGTGCAGGAGGGCAGCACTGATCTTCAGTAATGGAACTTTGCCATCTTTCTATTGAATGGCAGCAAAGTCTTTGTATTTTGCTCAAATTGTTTTTGCCACACTTTAGTAAATGAAACTCAGGGGTGGGTAGGTGCATGCATGTAGGCAGACAGTTCACTGGAAGAATTTCTGCTTTTGTGGCTCTAAGTTTAGGGCACCTTAGTGCCTCTGGATCACTGCATGCTGAGGTCTGCCTGAGGTTCCTGGGTAGGTGGGATAACTCAGGGAGCAGGATATTAATATCATTCCTCTCATTTGTCAGCAGAAATTGATAAGAATTTAGATTTCCTCAATCAAGATAAGTTTCTTAGAGATGCACAATGCAACAGGCTCATGAATGCATGTGGAAGCTTTGAGTCCTCCACATCCCAGTGGAGACAGCTTTTAGATACAAATGAGAATTAAATTGACTTACTTTGGGGCGTATTTCAATTCTAGGTTATGATAGTAAGAAGTGTTCCTCTCCCAAAATGGCATATTTTAATAATTTAGGGCCATATCAATAAAGGCACATGAATGTTTAAACTCCCACTGAAGTAAATTCAGAATTACAGGGAGGCTTGTGGTGATCGCTGTTCCCAGAAAACAATTCACTATAATTCACCCCTAAGACAGCCTTAGCATTCTTTTCAAATCAGCTTGATTTTAGCCAATATTCTTAGCCCTAAAGATATTTGCAGAGTTGTGACATCACGTAATCTGATAGATGACTACAAAAGAATTATAGAACAAAGAGGAAAATACCTTTGTGACATACTGTGACACTTAATACGCTGTGAGGTTATGTCCTTTCTCAAGCTCAAAAGGTTACTGCAGAACTAGAAGAGGCTAACGAATAGCAACAGCAAAAAGACAGCAGAGGTGATGCGTGGAAGAGACTAACTAGCCAGGACTACCTGTAATGTGGACAAACCACCTTTAAAATAAGGCAGGGTGCAGGAAGGAGAGCATCAAATAAAGCCAATTGTTGCATATCAAATAAATATTTTCTTTTGTTGTTGTAGTAGTAGTGGTAAAGATGTGGACCTGTTTGCTACAGAAGGGTTATGATATGGAAAGGTGTGTGTTTGAAAGGGTTGCATTGATATGAGTGAGTAGTAACAAACTTGCACACGGGACAGGAAGCATGTAGGTATTAGAGATACCAGCTCTGCATGGAGAAGTCTCTGGTCTAGAAAGTGCTATGAACTGAGAGAATGTACTAGGAACATTCAGCATGCAGAGCAGAGTGAATGTTATCTTCCATAGCATCTGTTATACACCATGGATAGAGACAGGTGCTAATTGCACCTTTTGATGTGATACAACAATGCCTGTTTTAATGTCTTACCTAGTGGAGAGTGTCAGCAGAAACAGGAATGGATGTAGAAATGAACAGCCTTGAGTTTAGGAGAAAAATGCATTCCTTAAGGGGAATGGAGCTCTTAGATTCTGTTTTCACCTGCTTTCACCCCTTCTGTCTGATTAAAAAAAAATAGTGGATATTAGAAGTAAGGCTTGAATAATTGCTGTTGCCTTTCTGATTACACAGATGGCAGAGGATTGCTGCTTGACAATTGTTGGAAATCTTATCACTCCTGGCTCTAAACTTGGTCTGTCTTTTGAGCGGAATGAAGACAAACAGTATTGGCATATTAGTCCCGATGGCAGGATTTACAGCAAGATGAAACCTAAGCTGGTTTTAGATATCAAAGGTAAGCAAATGTGTTTATCTAATTATATTGTGTCTTAATTACATGGTATTTCCAATGGGATAGGCATTAAACGTGCCTATAAATTAAAGATGGTGTTACAGTTACTTTAATCTAGAATCAGAAAAGACCCGATGAGCTAGTCTGACCTCCTGAGTTATACAGGCCATAGGACTTTGTTGCAGTTTTCCTGCACAGAGTTTAGGAACCCACAGTACTGGCTTATCTTGTATTCCCAGTGTCCACTCAGTGTTGTAGATACCCTCAGTTAATTTTACTCAGCATTGGGTAATGTGAATATAATTATTTAAAAACGCTGAAGCGAAGTTTTTCTTACCTAGCTTCTCATTAACTTTAATTTGTATAGAGCAATTTTTCTTATACATTAGTTGTAGATGCAATAGGCAAAGGATATTAGGAAAGCAAAGGCAGCACTGTAAACTGACACGAATAGATGAAAAAAGTTTTTTCATTTGTTCATTAATGGCCATACCTATGTTGTGAACATGATATTAGGCTGCTGTGACAGAATTTCTACCTGCATTCAAGGCACATCTTACTGTAGTTGTCACAGCCAATTTGCTTCATGAAGGTACTGTTTCTGAACAGGGTTTGCTTTCACAATTTCATAGGTCTGATAAAGCAGCACAGTGATCATGGTCAGATGTTCCTACATAACTCTGCATTTTTTGGAGGGAATAATCATTTTTATTGCTGTTGATTTCTTTTTAGCAGTTTTAAAATCAATTCTGGATTGATGTTGTGGCTTTAACTACAACAATCACAAAAAAAAAGTCAGTCACCAGTCAGCACTTTGGGACAGGCGGAACTGTAAGACAAGGGCTATGTAATGTCTGACTGTGATTCAGTGTTGACACAAGTACTCATAAATTCTCTTTACAGCCCTACAAAGTTGGCAGTGATTAATGTGAAGCTTATCAGAAAGACTTCAGTTCAAAGGACAGTCCTAATTCAAGTCGGGTCTGCTAACATTTTTTTTCTGTAGTCAGTTCTAAGTTGCACCAAAAAGCAGAGTACTACAACGCAGTGTGCACTTAATCACGTTAAAAGCACATCACATATTTTGCACTTAAAACTGATGAACTTCATAATGGATAGGTCTGATGACAAAAGTACAGACCCGTTCTGTAAGTACATTTATTTGAGAAAGCATAGTAGGATCATCATCTCTTTCTGCCAATTCTGCTGATCCAGTCTTGCCCACAAATGGAGCTGTAATGAACTCTTTAGTAAACGGCTGGCTGTTTGGCTGCACAATGCCACCCAGTGGATACTCGGCATGGTGCAGCGGCTTGCCTAGAGCACGGCTCTCATCATAGCAAATAACCCCAGGTTCTACCGAAAGAAATCTGATCTTTCCCGTTATTACATTTGTATTTTACCGATCACTGCTTACAAAGTAATTCCTGCCTTGCAGTGATAACTGAGTGATGTAGCCAACGTTATTTTTTTGTGCCTGCAGGTTAAAGCTTTTTCCTGTGGATGTATTTGATCTGGTGTTCTTCTCCCAGTTTTGGTTGTTTTTTTTTTTTTCTGAAGAAATTTGCCAATATTTATGTTGTGTCTCTACTACTTCTTAGTCATTCATTGGTGATGAGAAAGATGTGAATCATGTTGGCACAGGCTGCCCAGAGAGGTGCTGCAGTCACTGTCCCGTGTGGATGTGGCACTGAGGGACACAGTTAGTGGGCACAGTGGGGATGAGCTGATAGTTGGACCAGCTGATCTTAGTGGTCTTTTGCAACTTTAATGATTCCATGATTCTCAGAGATCCTTTCTGATCTAGGACAGTGGCACCAGCAAGCCTCCCTCAGATCTCTGAAGCAGAGATCAGCTAAGGTGCCTGAAATGGCATTTCCTTAGTACAAAAGAGCTGCTATTAAATGTGCACAACCACGTAGGACTCCAATTACACACACCTGGCCTGTTATTTCTAGGATCTGTTAGAGTCTGTATTTGTATAATCACAGGAGGCTTCCAGCTGCTAGGCATTTCTTTTCCTATAAGGAGGTTGTAGGGAGGCATGGGAGAGGGTGCAGAATGACAGATGGGTGTCTGTAGGAATGTCTCAATGTTCTGTACAGATGGCTGCTTACAGTGGAAGTACAGCAGTGGTACCAGCTATAGCAGGGGTGGTACCATGTGAAAGGCACGTGGCTCATGCTTCTGCAGTACATACGAGATCAAAAGCAGTCAGCTCTGACTTTCAGTTCTAGTTGAACTTTCCTCTGCTTCTGAGTCCAAGTGAGAATAGTAGTAGCGCTCCTCTTCTATGGGAGCACATTTGGCACTGTGTACCACGAGTAGTAAATTAAGCCTATCTAAGAAATGGATATATTTTACATTCAGGTATGCTCAGCTCCCACTGGGAACAGCTCAGCATTGCTTGTGTTCTGTGTATGGCAACCTGTGTTGCAGCTGGTCAAAACATAAGGTGACAGTGTGAAGAATAAAGGAGACTCAACCTCATCCCCAGGCTTGTTCTAATATAATATATATATATTTATATATATATATATATATATATATATATTCTGGTACGGTCTTGCTTCCGTTGACTGTTAACAGAAGGACTTTTTTCAAAGTGTAAATGTCATCTTTAGAACAAAGTGACAACCACTGAAGGGAAACTGAACAGTTGACTTTGATTTTTGGGAAATGGCAGTCTTTAAGGAGTCAGATGTGACTGTATTACAGTGTTTTCTTCCTTGTCCATTCAGGCTGAAAAAGCTAAAGTGGTGAATTAGTGACGGAGGTGGAGAGGAGCAGGCAGATCTCCCTGCTTCAAAGGAAATTCCAAAAACTGATGGTGATGAAAATGAATGTAATTTGTATTTTCAGTGCCTTAGGAGAAGGAAAAGCCATCTACAATCAGTAGTTATTAGAGTAGCCCTGAAACCCAGAACACAGTGTGCCTCTTAGGTCAGTGCTAATCTGTGCACTTTGAATTCTTCTTTACAGGGGGCACGCAATACGATCGTGATCATGTTGTTGTCAACACAGTCAACGAAGAAAAGTTAACGCAGTGCTGGGAACCACTGGTTGTGTAATTCCGTATGAGAAAGGTGATGTCTGAATTGGGCACTGTTCTGGACACTAGAATTGGCACTGCCAGCTTTGAAGGATGCATGATCAAGAGTTCTGTCTTTTCAGCTTTACAAAGAACAAGCAACAGAATGATTTCATATCTCTCTACCGAACATAATTATCCCTATAAAAGCTTGGGTATCTCTCAACCTTTTTTTAAATCATTGCAACTCTGTGAGATAGAGAACAGTAGCATGCTTCAGAGCAGTGGGAAGAACCAGAGGTGGGAGAGGCCCCAGAGTTACAATCACATCAGTGAGTACATAATCCAGAACAGTTAAGAAGTGTAATTTTAAATTATTTTTAAAGGTGTTTTGTTTTTTTTTTTTTTAACTAAGGGCTAAAATAATTAAAGCTTATTTTATAAAGGACAGGAGTGCAATGTGTATACGGTATAGCAATTTAGGCCTATTGGCTGGTAGTATAGAAGAATATTCACTACTGAAAATTTAATATATTTGTCTCACTGTAACAAACGTATGTTTACTGAAACCTTAAGACCACTAGCAAACAGCAGATCCAAAGAATTTTTAACATGTGGTTTCAAATATAGTTAGTATGCTAAAGTAGTAAGTCCTAAATTAAGAAGAAAAATAATCTAGATTTTTCTCAGGTAGAGGGAGGATATAAATGAGTGGATGGTTGTTAGAAAAAGAGAGGGTTGACAAAAGAACTTATCAGAATGTGAAGAACTTGCCTGCCCATTTCCTAAGCTGCCTAATTTTTAGTTACATGTATTTGACTTCTTTGCCAAGACAGTAATCTTTTAAAATAGCTCCAGTAAGTACAGTCTTCCTGAACTCTAGAATCATTTCCTATATAGAAAAAAAGAATTCTTAAGGGAAACCATCAATAACCGTGACTCGAAAGCACCTAAGCACCTAGGCACCTAAGCCTTTTAGCCACCAACTTTTGGCCTATGCTCTGGCTTCTGTGTTAATTTTCCATAATAATATTGGCAGAAAAGTAAAATATGAAAAAAAAACTTTTGTACTATGCTGCTGTGTTTTGTTCTGGCTTAGCTCAGTGTTATTACATGCTGCTCCTAGGAGCACCCAGGCCTTTGTCTTGCACAGTAAGTCTGTTCAAAAGAAACATTTTCATTACTATTGTGTTGCCTCAGAGGACACATACGCTTGCATTGTCACCACCCCAGAGGGAAGTGCCTTACTAATTTTCCTCCTCCTGTACAGAAGTACTGAAGTTTTGTTGCTCTGGAATGTGCTGCTTTTAGTTCTTCATAGAAGATTTGTTACTGGTTCCAAATAGTGGTACTTTGTCATACCAGTGTGCTCTTGCTATATGTAATATAGCATTTCACAAATAAATTTAAATTAGATAACAACTTACTGAAATCATTTTTAAGTTAGAAAGGTGACATTTGACAGTTCTGCTTCTATCTTGTGATCTTCTCTGGCACTAATTCCTCTGCTACAGCTGCAAGCTCTGAGGAAGAGGTGCATCTCCTGTTTAAACAGGTGCTCGCTGCACAGGGGTCTGCATTAGCACATGGCTGCTGCTTCTATCCCCGGTAATGCACTGCGTGCCATGGTTTTTCCATGGCCATAGCTGCACCACAGGAACTGTGCAGGTGTCGATTAGGAGGTTACTACTTTCCTTTCATCTACCTGTGCAGCTGCAGGTAAGTAACTCACGTGTGTCTCTGACACAATGGTAGTGTTAAAAACAGACCAACAGCTTCAAACACTTCAACAGCACCAGCTGTGATAGGGGGCATGGAAGGACCAAGGCTTGGTCACTGGCCAAATCACGTCTGGCTGTCCTGCATGAACACCACATTCAGCTGAATTGCTATCAAGAGTCAAGCAATTGGAGTAATTATCACTTACAGTGATTTTGTTCTGTGCTTCTACTTAGTTATGCCATGAGAGATTTGGTCATCAAAGTTGAAGTACAATCTTGAGCCAGCAATGCAAACAGAAGTTTACAAGTTCTGAGAATGAACCAGACTGAGTTGTTATACATGTTATAAATATTAAAAGCAAACAAAACTGAGGAAAGGAGAAGAGGATGGCATGGGTTCTGCATCGACAGTCAGGTGACAGTGTCTCACCCTTGCAGTATTTAGCTGGAACTGCTCAGAGAATAAGAGCTCCAAGCTCAAAAGTGTCATTTACCAGTTAAGCATGACTGAAGGCACAACAACAATTAGAGTTGCTTTATTTTTTATTAATGACATCAATCACTGTTTTTCCACGTGCGTGTCCTTCTTCTAGTTTCAGAAAGGCCTTTGGAACTTCAGAAAAAGGGAAGATTTCTTGAATAACTGGCTGAACCTGCAGAACAAAGCATCACTGCATTAGGAATAAAATGGCATTGTTTTAGCACCTTCACACTGTTTAAGGGAAGGAGAAGGATTTTTAATAGTACTTAGGGCAGAAGTTGCTCAGTGCAGTCACCACGTTTTAGCTTCTTTTCAGGGACTCTTCTGCATGCAGGAGAAGAGTTTTTGCTTTCTCCCCAAGTTTTGAAATATCTTTAATAGCCCTAGAGCCCTAGCGCAGGGCGAAAAGTAAAGCGTGGTGCAAAGCTTTAACCTCCCAGGTAGGTAGGGTTTTCTTGTTAAACCAAGAATCTTTCAACAGTTTCAATGTTTTAAGATACTTTTGAATCTAGTATCTTCAAGGGACCTGGTTACAAATGAAGTACAAAGAAAAAGGACACTGTTGCTGAATCATGTGGATACACTTGAAAACTCGGCCACTGTGTCTTCATGCTGGCATGGACCATGAAGCCTGGCTCGCGTCCACTGCTGTTTTGGCATTAATTTTGTAGAGTAGCCTTCTGGATTGTTTTAGAGCAATCACTAATAATGAAGGTGAAACTACCACTTCACTGTGCCCACCAGCGACTAAGAAGCCAGAAAACCCCACCAGCACTGTCTTTAGATATTGCAGTATGCCAGTGGAGGGAGAAGAAATCCCAACTGTTTCTAAAAATTATTTTCACCATGTTCTGAGTCACCCTTCCAGAGGCAACAGTAAGCTCTGTTTACACAACTGCTGCCAGAGCACCTACCCTGAGGCAGGGCTCTTACCTTGTATCCCCCCCCCGTCAGCCCAGTACATGCTCTTCCTTTCCTGAACTGATCCCACTCATCTTAGCAGAGGACATTAGCAACAGATGAGTGTGCAGCCAGCTCTTTCAGTAATAGAAATTTTAAGAATCAAAAGATCCAAACACTCTAACACTCTTCTTATTGTGCTAGAAAGTGTCCTTGTTACTTTTATCACTGAAAAATATTTTCAGGCCTTTTCCTTGCAGATACCACCAGGCACACTTATCTTCCTTAACGCTCCTAGAACCGGTAATGGCCCTCTCAGCAGGACATGTGCTTTGCCAGGAAGGGAAATCAGACAACTAGTGTGTCAGCATCAGAGCAGCACTTTCTTTCAGAAGCTTTCTTTTACCAGAAGGTGGAGTACCTACACAGACTGCTGCTCAGAACACAGCACTACCAAGGAAAGGTCTCTCATAATACACACTTAACAAGCTGGGTTCTAGGTATCCAGCACCCTCCCCAACAGCACAATTGCAATCCAGAAGTTGTCTAAGCACGCATAAACATGCTCTTCTCACTTATCTTTATTACCTTCAAGTCCAATTATTGCACTGGACTAACTACTACTTTTTGTTTTAACAGTATTCTAAGACAACAATAATCAAACTATTATACTGCTATCTTAATTTTGTTTCTGAGGTTCTCCCTTTTGTTATGTCGATGCATGCCTAGCAGAAATGTCACATGGCAGAAAAGTAGGAAGGAATGAATCCCTTCAAAGATAAGAATTCGCAGCCAGTTCCTAAAGAAAGCAATTGTGCCAATGAATTCACTAAGTGCCTTCAATCTGCCAGGCTGCAGGGCAGGAGGTTGGTTAATGCCTTCCCCTTGTTTAATCACAGCAATCTCTGCAGCCAGACCCCCTAGCAAAGGGAGGAGTAAAAAGCAACAAAAGGAACAGAAAGATGCTGTTTAACACTGCTGCTCAACCAGGAAATAGCTGTGGGTCATAACTAAGTTCAAGTGAAAACCACGTTTAATACAGAATGAAAACATTATCTTGAGCATCAGGAGTTGGGGATAAGGCCTCAAAACCACTTGCATGGGATGCCTGTGGGTTAAGCAAGCATCAGAGTAAACTGCAGCTGCTGTGACAAGCAGCAGGAGGAATGTGCTGCTCCTCAGTCATTGTTCTGAAGAAGACCAACCCTTGCTTTCATAGCCAAAGCCTTCAAAAAAAAACAAAAAAGACACCAAAAAACCAACAATCCAGTAACCCTGGTAAGCCAAGCACATGTGCAGCACTTGCACAAGCAGTTACCATTAATGGCAGCAGAGATGTGCTTCTGTTCAGAAAAATAAGAGCAAGGAAACACATGGACACAGCTGACCCTCACAGGGCAAGGGGCTGGGAGGAGGGAAAGAGATCACAGAAAGAATGCAATTCAGCCACGCAGCATTGTGAGGCACAGGGTGCCAGGAGTTTGCTTCAGACACATGCAGTAGTTGAGCAAAAAGAACACTTTCAACCATTCTGCTACCTGCAGTCCTGTACTGTGGATTGCAGCTTACAGCCCTGACAGAACTCACCCTTAAGTGAAGTTCAAAGCATCACGTGTGAAAAAGCATCACACAGGGATTCAGAGGACCCCCAAATTTAGCCCACAGTTCAAAACACCGTACGTACTGCAACCACCAAGTACTGAAAGCCCATCTGCTGCATTGATGTAACCTCTAGTTCCATTTAAACTCCAGCTTTAGGCAATGCTATAGAGAGACATGAATACTGAACTGATGATCCTGACAATCTAGAGCATTAAACATTTTATCTGGCTGGCTGCTCAGCCCCATTGTTTGAATAACCCCAAAAGGGCTGACCATGTCACAGCACAGTGATTCACTCAGCCTTTACCATAATCCACTGACTAAGATAAAATTTCTTCCTGTGAGCAGACAAACAAGCAGGGAAGCGTCTGCTATTTGTTGAATGCGTGATAAAAATAAAAAAAAAAAAATGGAGATTAACTGGATAATACAAACACTGCCTATTTACAGCCACACATCAGTTCTTTGCCAGAGGACACCTATTTGTTCAGGGAAAAGGGATTAAACTAAAGTCTGAGAGAGAAAGGATTACACACACCTGCACTGAAATGTTTTTCTGAAAACAGACTGGGGCTGAGAGGGGTTTTCCTCCTCTCCATTCTCTCTGATGTTGAACATACTAGAAATGAATCTACGTTTCTCGAAATGAACTTCGTGTTTCAAAAAATAAGAGTCACAGTTGATGCTGGTTAGGTATGCTGATCTGTCCTACACAGAGCACAGGAGCAGCATTGCACTCCATCCCACTCCAATCTCACTCCAGACACAGCAGAGCCTGTCAGGAACCAATTCCTGTAAGTTTGTAGCTGCTTCCTGTCGCTGGAGGGACAGCTAGAGCCTACCAAACCTGAGATCCACAGAGCAACCTTAGCTCAAAAACAAAAGTTTTCTCACGCCAAGGGCAATGACAGTGCATTGGCTCTTCCCCAGGCTCATGAAGGGTGGCTGTGCACACATCACAGGGCAGTCCAGCTTTGCAGAGACTCCCTCCCAGCTGCCATCTCCTCATACACGAGAGTTATGTCTTGGCTGTGAGTGTGGGCATGGCTCATGTGCATGCTCTGCACTGGGAGCTCCCATGTATGCAGAGAGAGTTGTGATGTGTTCCAACAGTCCTCAGAACACTCAAATGCTTTCTTTAATGGAAAAGACCAGTGCACCATTTAGACTTAGCTGAGCAGGAAGGTAAAGACATGACCACAATGCCTAGATGCAGTGTAGGAGCCAACACACAAATGCAGCGCTTGATGCTCCGCTTTGGCCTTCAGTGAGTATCCCTTCAGTGTCAATGAGAGACCTGAACAGAACTCATTGCATAGCACAGCCTGCATCCTGTAATTAAACATGCAGTTATCTGCTCAATACTTCAGTGTCATCTCATGGAAAAAAAAAATGCCTACTCCCATGGTCCTCTTACAAACAATTGTGTTACCAGACAGTCTTTGTTAATATGTCTAGCCAAGAAGCATTCTTTAATATCAAGCATGTAACAGCAGCTCACAGTAACTCATAAGTATCAACTACAATTATTAAAATGCTAGAAGATAAATCCCAATTAAGCAGGCTATGGTTCAGAGTATAGAAGAGGTTTAAAAATCTCATGTTCCTTAATTGGCCTTGGCAGCAGCTTCTATAGAACACAACAAGGAGCAATAAGAAACTGGAACAAGCCCAGAGGGGCAGCGTGTGCCAGGCTAGCCCAAGTTTAAATCAGCAGAAGTGAGGAAGGAGATCCTGGGTTTGGTTACTATTGAACTGTGCCGAAAAAATTGTTAAGTAAAGCAAAATGCAGCTCTGTCTTCAAGAATTCCCTAGCAGTTATATTCATGGCAGCTGTTCTGCTGTTTTTGCTGGTGATCCAGGGCAACACAACCATATCAACAAGACAGAACAGACTTTACTACAGTTGTACAAAACCTCTGAAAGCATATTACATATTCTACAAATAGTATGAAAATATCTTTGTCTGACCTGCATCATCTTCTGTCTCAGCAAACTCAACTCACAACAGGCGAGAGCTGTCTTCTTGATCCCACAGTTCACTGTTGTGCTGGATGTGGTTCCTGGCTATGCTAGGAGACCAGTAGTAACTCGCTACAGAATGTGCAATCATATCAGGCTCAGACAGCAGCACATTTGATTAAATACCAGATATCTGCTGAAAGTTTTCCAGACCTCATTATGGTTGACGTGAGCTGTCATGCTCAAATGCTATTTCTGCATTTCCCAAGATTTCCTTCAGTCTTCTTCAGACACTTTAATGACACAACCCCAGAGCTTTCATAAAGAGCCTTATCGCTTGTAGGAAGAGGTGCAGATGCCTTTTAATAAAAATCACTACATTTTTGTTGGCCATAATTAAATGCAGATAGAGGTTCCTTCTTGAAGAGATGGAAGGACTGATTAGTCTTTGGCATCCCCTCCTTGATTAATATTTCTGGGCTCTAGCCGACCAACCTGGCAAGCAAAAGCACTGCAACAACAAAAAAATAGTCTAAATTAATGGAAAAGGTACAAGCTTTGCAGTTTAGCACACAGGGAAGGATGGTCATTGGAATGAGCTTGTACAGCTCTGCACGGGAAGAAGGGCAGGAAGGCCAAAGAACAGTGAGCATCCCATCCTTCCATCTGGCAAAGCAGACCACTAAATCCAACACAGCTTCTCTCAGCAGCAACACATACACATGATGCTGCACAGAAGTTATGCAAGTTACAGACATGCTATTGCTTTGCTTATGTGTATCTGTGCTGTAACATTTATCTAGAAAGGCAACAATACAAAGAATGCCCTATTCAGTTCTCTTTCTGAGACTCTACTTTTTCCTTTAGCCTTACTTCTCTGTAATCAATCTTTGCCCATCTAGTGCAACTTTGCTCTGAGAATAGTAGTAAGCCACACATAAACCTACACTGTATTTAGAAGACACTTTAATTAAAATGAGATTTTCAAATCTCATTTATAGGGTTGTATACTAACCCTCACCCTGTTATGGTCCAGCAAGAGCATACAACATTCTTAGCACTTCCCCTTACTCTCTAATGAGTCTCTTGAGCCAGCCTCCACCAGGCTTTATAAGAGGCAAAGTAAGTGCTCAATTGTAACTACAGAAATTTGTAGAAAAACGACACAAGGTCGGTAAATTAACAAGTTAAGTAAAAAAAAAATTAAAGATTATCAGTGTAAAAGCCTCAACACTAACAACAGATACATCAAACTAATTCCTAGAAAGCTGTTCCATGACAAAGCTGCCATCAGAGACCAGTGATGATGTTTCAGCAACCAGTATGCCAGAAAATCTATGTTCTGAACCAAGGACTTCATTGATTTCAGTTGTCTTTAACTGAGAACCTTGTAATTCAAAATGAATGCTCTGCCACGGAAGAGATCCCTTGCTTCTGACACACACTTCGTCTATTGATTTGGCAGAGCCTACATTAAGCCAACCCTCACTGGCTTGTAATTAACTGCCTAAGTTGAACCCACAACAGGGACATCCCAGCAGTTTATAAAGTAGCAAGTATTTCTAAAATCTGACAAGGAAATGCTCAACTTTCTCTGTGCCCATCACAGCCACAGCAGCTTCCCAGCTCACCAGTCTCACAGCAGGCTCTTGGCAAGATGTTCTGCTGCAAGGCAGAGAAAACAGCTCATAAGCTGAAAATGATTTTATGATCCCCTGAACGGAGCTGATGCGCAAATGAATTACAAAGAGAACATTATTCTCCTTCTTTGCCCAACCAGTTTATCAAATTCTTCCCCTCTTCTCCCTGTTAAAAAAGGCTGCTAAAAGAACTCATCCTGACATTTTGCAAATCTCTATTCCTTGTTGCAAAGGTCATCTGTGTAAAAACCAAGCATCTTTAAATAAAATACCCTGCTTTGTACCTGTTCATCCACTAAAAGATGGGGACTCCTTTTGCTTTCACAGAGGAAGATGATGGAACACAACGGAACTAAAGAACTGTGTTGGTGCAGAAGAACTTCAAAAAACAACAATCTGACATGGATCTGATCTGTATGTTCTCCAAAGCTTCACTTACTATAGCATCACCTCTTTTAAATTTCCTTCATTTAAATCCACCTTCAAGATTTATGCTATCCTAAAAAATGCCCCTTTTTCAGTAGCTCTCCTATTCATGTCACCCAATCCCAAGGTGTTTCTAACAGAAAAAAAGGCCAATTCACTGAAGTCTCAGAATAACCAAAATCCGCAACGCTCCAGCATGTGTTCTCTCAAAACTAAGTTCAACCACACAAGCTCACTTTGCTACCATCCTCCAGCCTTCTCCCTGCACTTCAATAGCCCTTTTTGTCCCTAAAATTCTCATTTATTACACTCCAACTAGAACACAAACATTGTTGGAGGTAGTATACCATAATTTACAGTAATACATCTCTCTCTCTCCCCCTTTTTCCAAATACCTACTCTTCTGAATGGATGATCTGCCCATTTAAGGAAACTCTCGTGTCTTGACAACAAAACTCAGTCTTACTAACAGCTGCATATATGGACCACATCTGGGACATGCAAGACAGTTGACAACAGCAGTGTTGGCAATATTTCAGAAAGTAGAGCACAATACTGATAGGATGACGACAATGCAGATTTACAGTGTGTCATTTTGACCTGCTCTTGTCAATACAGAATTAAAAAAAAAACCACAACAGGCAAACATCTTTATCCTCACTATTGTCTTACAACAAAAACTACATTGGGATATTCATGTACGTATGACGTACATTTTAAAAGACATTACAACTCAGCTGTCCATATTATTAGACAGATGAATACTGATTAAGCCCCATCCCTATTGCATAAACAGGCATTTTTTAAAGGCTTTCATGAGCATATTCTGCATTTCTGTTTTGCAGAACAGAAGCAGGAGCAGAACACAAAACAAGTTGTGACTGGCTAAGGATCAGGACAAACAGTAAGAACAAAGGCAAGCACGTATCTGTTTCTTAGTCAATTGTAAGTCAGTTGTATGATTGGATGAACTCACACGATGAGAAGCATCTTCCAGGGCTTTTTACCTAGACTGTAAAATAAGGCATAAAGCACTGCACACAGTGCAATGTGGAGTGGTGTAAAACCAACAAGGGTCGCCATTCACCATGGCTTATTTGCTTCTATAACCTTTGTTCATGAGTAGACAACTTTTCAGGAAACAGACTGTATCAGCAGCACCCCATTCACAACACAGGAGTGGCTGAATTTAGGAAGATTCTTATTCTGAGCAGCAGCACTGGAAAATCAAATATAAGCAAGCAGATACTGTGATATGAGTTTTTAGAACTTAATGCATAAAGAATAAAGGCAATCCAAACTCAATAGTCCTTGCGAGCATTAGATTGTTCTAAGTATGCCCAAATTTTGAGTGCAAGAGGGTCTGGCAATTGGCTTACCAGAACAATGAGCTGCCAGGGCATACTCCTCTACTTAGGCACCATGCAAAAAGATGAACAGCAACTGTTTGTATTCTGTGCTCTGAAAACGTTAACGACGCAAAGTTCCCCAGAAGAGAACATGCCAGGACCTACAGCACCACATATCCAACACACAAACTGCTGGGTGATCTCTCAGTCTCACATGCATTTTGTAACTAGTTCATAAGCCTGAAAAGATCTGGTACTGTGAGATTCCCCAAAAGCTTATGAACACTCACAGGATTTCAGGTCATTGTGCTGAATCATCACAATTATACTCTGAAGCACTGAAATAATTAGACAGCACAGATCACTCACTGTCTGTGATAAGCTGTATATTCTGCACATGACATGCAGGACCCCTGTTCATCTGTGCCAGGGGATTTGCATATGCAGACATACATGCAGCCATGTTCATCCTGACCAAATGAACCAACCAAGGCCTCTAAAAGCTTATTATTTTCAACAGCAGAGCTTACACTAAATAATTCCCACTAGCAAAGAACCAAATCACTGGGCACTCTTTCCTCACAACTTACTACATTTGAGATTTTTAAAAGGAGTAGGATGAAGAGGGAGAAAGAAAGACAGCCTCAAGCATTATAAATACTTAAACTCAATGCCAAAGGCAGAAGTTAGAAATCAGAGCAAATCAGTTGTTAACTTGTCTTCTCTGCTGTGACTTGTAACAATCTATTACTTAATTGCCAATTAAGCCGTTTTTGAGTCAGAGCAGCATCTCTTTCAGCACAAAAACCTAAGTAACCACTGCTGACATACCTTTCCTGAGTCAACTAGTTGTGCAATTTCATCCAAGCTTGGTCCACTTGGCATAAAGAAGGCCCACCGATAATGGACTCCTTTCAAGAGATGCTGCAAGAAAGATCACAAATATACATTTTTAAATAATGAGAGGAAACTGAAATGGGAACTGAAAGAAAGGACAGAAGCATCAGAGAAACAATGTAATGGAAAAATATGGACATTATTTGCTAGTGTCTAAAAAAGAAAAGTTATCTAAGCACGTGCATTAAACGCACAGACAGAGATGCTGTATTACCACAATAGGATCAGGGTGAATTTTGTGTCCAGTTGCAAAAGTCAGCTACTTGAGAAAAACAACCACCTTGCCTCTGCAGCTGGAAATAGCATTATTTCTTATGTAAGAGAGAAATGGCACTATATGTTTATACACATTTACAAAAAGGGTGAAATAAATCTACCAATATGACATTTAGAACTTTCCACCTCAGTGTCAGTGATTAAATTTTCCACAATCACATCTGCCAAAGTCGTCACCATCTGATGACAGATGGCAGCTCGCACAAAAAGCATTCCAGGAAGATCACACAAACACAAGTCAAGAGCACTTTCCTTGAGAAAGCTGTTAGAGGCATGAGTCTTCATCTGCCAAAACCAGACAACTGCTAATGTGTGCCATACAATGCTCTTCACCATGAAAACATGCAAACTGAGAAATCATCATCATATTATGTGGCTTCTTTCCAGGCTTTTGTTTTTGAAATTTCCTTTGAAAACATTGTTACTGGACCTAGAATCTCACTCAGCCTCATGACAGAAGTACCATGGAAACAACATGAAAAGCAGTCACTTGGATAGCAAATAAACATGTTGAAAGAAGAACAAATTCTAAAAAGCCTCACTGGGAGAATGCTTTAAAGTAGAAAAATCAGTATCACCATCCAGGCACACGAACATGGAAGAGATGAAAGACTTTTTAGCCACTCTCAGTCACTTTCATTACTCCGTGGTGCTGGTATAGGATGAAGAGAATCAGTAAATGTTTTGAGAGAAACCCTGCCCAGCCTAAGGCAAGTAGTAAAACTACCCATACTTCAACAAGGCAGGGATTTCTTCTGCTCACTATAAAGTGCTAGCTGTCAGCAGGACTCACTAGGAGGCCACATGGAAAAGGCAACACACAATAAGACATCAAGACTACAAAGCACCCTAGACTACAATATATACACACATATATATGTATGTATATATATGAGGACAATGCTGGGTTTTTTTGAAGACAGAAGGAGACAGAATCAAAATGCATCTGAAGTATACTTAACAATGCATGAGGAAAATGAGAAAGATGTCTCCAGATGAGCTGCTTGACTAGTGCCTAAGCCACAAAGGAAGCCATGAGGACATAGCACAACCTTCAAGAATATGGGATTTTGTCACATACCTTCACAGTTTTGGAGCCTATCGTGACTCCTGTTTGCAACATGCCATCAGCAACTCCAAGTCTGTCCATGTTGATCAAGAAAGGCGTCACTAAAGTAACGTATGTTGCTCCTGACCATTTCTTCAGGAGATCTAGTGCCCACTTCTCAGTGGATCCACCGACATTATCGAGGATGAAATCAAATCTGGAGACATGCAAAGAACAGGCTCAAAGTCACGATACAGGGAAGATAATCATAAATTAAATAATGTATGAAACTGGTTGTAGATCACATTTCTACCTGTCACTGCAGTATATTAAAATAATCTGCCTGCAAGACAGCAGCAAGCAAACCCTATGAGTTCAACTAAATCCCAGCTTTATGTATAGTTAAAGTTACAGGTTATTGTCCATTCACTGCATAGCAGATAGAGGCTGTTTCAATAATTAAATGGCCCCTAACTCAAAAAGCAGACTCTCAGATGCACAGTAACATTCTCTATTTGCTTGAAGCCTTCCAGAGCATTCTCTCTTCATCCCTCTGACTGAAATTACTGAAACGTTCTTGAGGTCTGGTCCTAGCACTCAACAGAATGCTATGTATTTCTGAAGTCTGGTCTGGACTCCTGCCCTGACTAGGAACATCTTCTGTCCATGCTGTATTCACATGGAAGCCAGTTCCAGTGGCCAAAGTTCCATAAACAAATCATTGACATTTTATCTCTACTGACAGCATCTTCTCTCTGCATCTCCCTGCTTGAAGTAGAACTTCAAAGCAAGGAGTCTAAAATCATTTCTTCACATTATGGTTATATGCAACCACTGGCAACAAGCCACGCTTTTAGCATTCGTTCTTATTATCCCAGCACATGAATCTGTAAGGGCTGAACGTGGCAACTGGGAGCTACTGTACCTATTCTGTTAGATACACAGCTCATTCTCATTCTCTGCTGCAAATTTTCAGCAATCTCCAGATAGGAACAGATGCACTATAGATTATCTAAACAGATAATAGATTATATAAATGCATATACCTCATCTAACAAATCCACAAATAAAAGGAAAAATACGTAAATAAATGGAAAATTTTTTATCTCTAGAAAGAGTTTTCCTGACTGTCTTCCAAGGGTGTGATTTCATTTTATAGTTGAGTTAATCTAAAAGCTGTCAAAACAGGAATTAACACAGTGAAAATTAATGGTCCAGAAAAGAACAGCTCATCATGGAGTCTGAAGAGTCAGTACAATTGAAAAGAGGAGGGCTATAGGATCGTTCCTCTCAGTATACACAACTGATGGGCTTAGCTACATCACAAAACTGTACTCATACAAAGGTTCACAGCTCCTAAGAATGGCTGCTTGCTAGAACAGATGTTTAGCATTTAAAATCTTGAAGAGCAGAATTTAGCATATACAGCACTGCTTGCAAGCTGTCAATTTTTGTATATTCTGCTCAAACAGACAGCACCAACACCCTCACAACTGATCTCAGACCTATTAGCAATCACACCCCAGTAAAAGGGTACACACCTCTGTAGAGCAGTTAATAGTAAAATTATTTTATCAATTGAGTGGTTTCTATTTTTCCACCCAGATTAATTCAATCTAGCTAAAAACAGCAGTGTAATTACCATCTTCAAATAAAAGTCACAGAAGACCAAGTGTAAACAGAAGGAAAAGCTGCAAAAGTGAAAAAAAAAAAAAAAAAGTTTCAGAGAAACCCCTCAGGCTACTTAAAACATATCAGCTGTGACCACGTAAATGTGATTATTCAGCACAGGCAGCTGTACCCAGTGTTACAGGAATTCACTCCCAGCTATGTTGCACAGTGGCTACAGGACTGGAGGCAAGTCACTAAACTGCTTCCTGACATAATTCTTCCCTGTAGAAGATCGGTTTTTCTATTTAGGAACCTCACAGAGGATTCCTGAGACTTGTTTTGATTTATTCATGGCTTTTTAAGCACTCCCAGATCCTACAATGGAAGCTGACAAAGCTGATCAAATCATGGTCATTAGAAGCACGTGAAAGTGAGCTTGTCTCCATAAACCCAATTAACTGGCTTAATCTTACAATGAAATCTGTGCTTGCAATACTCGGCAAATTACACTCAAAAAAAGGACAGAGAAGAATTTGCTTTAGCAAGTAAGGCTTTAGAAGTGGGAAGAAAAAGGAAAAAGGAAAAGAGGGAGTCCTGACAGACTGCAGCCCGGAATCAAAAGGCAGAAGGACTGATGGCCAACTCCTTCATCTGAGTATTAAGCAACACAAACACATACGAGGGTAAGGCTTTAAGCTGTTGCTCCAAATTTCCAGATTTGTAATCAATCACATCATCTGCTCCAAGCTTTTTCATCAGTGCACTAGCATCGTGGGAACAAACTGCTGTCACATGAGCACCCCAGGCCTTCACTAGCTAGAAACAGAAAGAAAAAAAGAAAAAAAAAAAAAAAAAAAAAGGGGGCAAACTTTTAAATTTTTTGCAAAAAAAATAAAAAAAAAAAAAAAAAAAAAAAAAAAAAAAAAGGAGGCAAAGGTTTAAAATTTAGTGAGAAATACTTAAAAAGAAAAAAAAAATACCATTGTTATATTACACAAGGTAACGTATCACATATCCAACAATGGTTAGAACTTACTGATATTTAAGGCGGTGATAATGATAAGAGGACTGAGTTGGGGTGGCTGAGGAGGGATTTTTCATGCAATTTGCAAATACCAGCTCTCAGGATAAATAAGGCTTCAAATAAAATACTCAGTTCATCTTCTGAATCTGGTAATTCAGACTATGCATTTTTAAATCTAACAATCTGTAAAACTGCCAGCAGATCAACCACTGCAGGGATTTAATTTTATCTGCCTACCTGCTCATTAAGTATTCCATACTCTATCTCATTGTAAATAAAGTACTACTAATGAGAAAAAGTAATCTCTGGTTTATCTCAAGGAGCATGTCAGGTTAGCTCTTCTGCTTCAGAACTTAAAGCAAAGAAAAGCTTTTTTGCTAGTTATTCATCTCTTCTGTAAATCTCATTCAAAAGATTCACACTAATTTTTTTTTAATTGACTCCGGATTAATTAATAACTAATCATAGGATAAATTAGGTAAAAATCACAACTAGTCAATGGTTGGATAGCCTTTCCCACTGATCTAACTTATCCACCTGTTTTATCATGGATCAGGCAAATACTGTACCACTAAAACTCTCCTGAGAGCTTCTCAAAACCATTATGTTTATGGTGCTGTAACACAGAACATAATGATGCAATCTCTCAAGACATATTTTTTTATACTATCAAGAAAAAGCTATTTCTACACAAGGTGACACCAATTTGAATAAAAATCCCTGAATTAAATGAGAGCACACAAGGAGGATCTTCCACAGTTAAAGATATTCAGTAGAAGACTGGCTACCGAAAGACTGTCAACTCTCCTAAGGTTAGGGCAACTGGAAAGAAGGAATGCAAGAAGGCAACAAGGCAAAGACAATGATGGAATGTTAATGTAAGTCACTATGCTTTCCCTAGATTGCTCATGAAAGCCTCATGCCTCCAGTATCACTGTCCACCCACAACAGCTATAATTGCTACCATTTTACAGACAATCCCAACTGCAATCATCTACATACTCCATCATTTTCCTACTCATATGCCAAGTTCTTTTCGTATTTATAGAGCAGAGATGACTGAAAGAGAATGAAGACAAGTGACAAATTTCAAGTTTTGCAAATTAAGAGATTTCTTTAAATTTAGAGGTTTTGAATGCCCCCTCCTTGGAAGCACTCAAGGCCAGGCTGGATGGGGCTTTGAGCAACCTGGCCTACAGGGAGGTGTCCCTGCCTATAGCAGGGGGTAGAACTAGATGATCTTAAAGGTCCCTTCCAACCCAAACCATTCTATGATTCTATGATTCCTGCACTTAAACTGTGAAATGTGTTCTTTTAGTAACCACACTCCCTATCCCATTATTTTAAAGCCCCCTTCTTCCTACTAATGCAATGTAACAAACAGAATGGAGCCAGTCCCAAACTTCGGGAGCTCTGACAGCTCAATGGGTGGCTTCCTATTTCAGTCCTTCAACTCCCTTCCATTCTTTGTACTGAACAGTCTGAAGATGCATCATGGACATGCTGTGTTATATTACCTGTACAGCAAATGTGCCAACTCCTCCAGAAGCTCCTAATATTAAAACTCTGTAAGAGAAAATGAACATTTATTGAATAGTTCTTCAAACAAACAGTATAGCAACTATTTATTCTTATACATCTCCGACATCAAATCACTATAAGCAAAACACTTATTTGTCATTCAGTATTACTTTATGGTTAATTCTTCAGATACCTAATAATGTGATTTAACACAGCTCTCATCCTGCTTCCTGTGCCAAGAGCATTATCTATTGCAGCCATACTGACTTCCTCATATGTGCTTTTCACTAATTCCAGGCAGTGGAGCTGTCAACATTTATCATGAGAAAAAGATAATCCTGTCTCTGTCCACACTTTCCCAAATTTAATTGCTTAGTTTGGAACAAAGTCAGTAAGAATCTTTCTGTCTCCCAGACTCTGTTGTCACTTTCCCTAAAGCAAAAATTAGATTTTGCTAACATTTTACACCAATTGCTGCTATCTAGCAGAAGTAGTTCAGTGTCACGTTACTTAGAGAGACCAAGGATTTCAGAACATATGGAACATAATTTCCCAGTATCACTGAACATTTATCTAAAAGACAAACAACAGTGTTGCAGCCTCACTACACAAGTTCTATTAAACTATCTGAAGAAATGGCAGCAGAATTGTACTGGTTCAGTGCATCTTAGCAACACCCTGTAAAATGCCCACTTCTTGAAATTAGTAAACAAGTAAGAAAACAAAGATGCCTATCACCAAATTATTATGAGTTCATTTTAACTGAACACATCGTCCTAAATTTCATAAAATGAATGCAATCTCAAAGGTGTGAAAACCTTAAAGCTACAGCAGCCTAATCACTGTTCAAAAATTACACCTAAGTATTTTTATTAATTAGCTGAACTTCAAATAGGGAATCAGTAAGAAAGCCATGCAAGCGAAGCTACAAATGGTGTTTCAACTTTGGACTCATTTACTAATTCTAGAACAAAAGGTACATCCAAGATGAAGCCTTGGCATGTGCAGAATCATGTTTCTCAGAACTTCTGCTTGCCAGAAAAATTTCAGTATTTTCAAAAGCTGGTGATGTTCCTGTTCTATATCTTACCATGCTGGATGCTGAGGGAAATGGCTTTTACAATGCAAAATTGCTCTAGACAATCTAGAGTATCAGTTGACAAAAATTCTTTGAAGTAACCTAAGAGACCTGGCTTTGGTCACAGGATCCATTCTAAAATGGATACTCCTTTGAAACTCATCAGATTCTATTCCTTATTTCACTCATCTAAACTTGCAGAGTTCAGATGAAGAATTTGAAACCACAATGCCTGCTGCTTTGAAACCTGCCAAAATGTACTTATGCTCAGAACCATGCTTCTAACAACAGATGTCTGAAGCAACTTTTATATTCAGATCTGATTATCCTTGAAATGTCTCAGGGATACCATGCTCAAGACACTGGGTTAAGCTCGTCTTTATCGTTACAAGAGCTGCCGGTAACTGCTTTCAAGAGATGCCCCCCCCCCCCCCCAAAAAAAAAAAACAAAACAGAAAACACCCTGTCAAACTGTCTCTCCAATTTTACTCCTTGCCTAAAGGGCATTTCCTCCACTGCAGAATTTGAAGAAAGCTCTAACTTCAAAATGTACATTTTGCTTGAGGACTGATACAACATGATCAGCTGTGGGAAGCTGCTTGGCTAGGTCTTCAATAAACATGCTCACTATTCCCAAAGTAGAAGTAAGGTCCAGATTTATTTTGTTTGTTATGTTTCCTGGGCTATTTCCTACCAAAACTTTCAATTATTAGAACTTCGTACACACAGACCTTAAGAAAGCTCTTTCACAAAATCACACAATGGCCAGGGCTGGAAGGGACCTCAAGGATCATGAATCCCTAACCCCCCTGCTACAGGCAGGGCCACCAATCTCCCCATTTAATACTAGACCAGGCAGCCCAGGGCCCCATCCAACCTGGCCTTGAACACCTCTTTGCTTTACAAACTATGCCTATGCTCTAAAGGCATCTCAGCTTAACTGAGTAATGTGTCACCCTCCAGGCCAAGTGACACCACAAAGTAAGTCACACCACAGAGCAGGTCACCACCCTCACACACACTGCACAGCACTTGCCCTGGGCTGTGTGCATGCTGCCGTGGCCATCACACACCTGTATGCATGCTTTCAACACAGAAGCCCTTGTATAATCAGGAGGTATGTGTGCCACAGCTCAGCAGCTCAGTGTTTTGTACAGTGCTGGAGACAGGGCAAACTGCTTGGTGTAACTCAAGGGTGTGGGAAAGCGTTTGACAGTGTAAGAGCTGTTAAAAAATAAAACCAAATTTCATTTGATTATGCCAACAAAATGTCCCTAAACATTTATTCTTGCATCAAGAAGAGTGTACCCTATAAAGAATTATTGCAACCTATCCTCGCTTTGAAATTCTCATCAGACAAAATGATGAAATAACACACTCTCTGAAAAAAAATCCTGGGTCACTGTATCATTTCAATTTTCATTGCAAACATGTAAACCAGAAGTGTAATTTCAACAATCCCCTGTACCATAATCCTAGTGTAACTCTTCCCAGTAAACTCTAACACACAAAATGTTTACTCTGCATTTATATGAAGGCCCTTATTCCTTATCAACATAAAAGCTTTCAAGGTCTTCTCAAATGGCTATGTTTTAACACGCTTTTTGTGAATACAGCAAGGAAGGGTTAACAGCTTTTGTTGAACAACCATATTGTCTTTCTACTGAAGCAAGACCCTCACCCACAAGGAGTTCATTGGCTTATTATCCAGAGAGAACTTGAAAACCACGGACTCATTCTCGACATTCTGGACAATGAGCACATTCACTTTTACCTTGTACAAGAACACTGATGTAAATTACAATGATTTAGGATAAAAGCTGTGGCAAAACAACCAAAGCTGCAGTGAAACAGTAGTCACCACAAACAACACGTGCACACTTCAGGTAACTCGTAAAAATAAAGTTGGGGAAAGTGCAGCAGATTGTCCTGTCAGATCAGAGTACAGGGTACACACTGTGGGGCTGACAGCAAGTACTTGTGGTTAGTCCACCCTTCCACCTTAGAGAGGCAAAGAAAACAGAACACACCAGTAGAAACACTTGTTGTTTCCAAGATGTCTTAATCCTGCAATAAAGTACCAATGAAGGAGTTTTCCTCAAGGAATACAGGTACTCTTTCAAAATAAGACACACTTTCACACACCATCCTACATAGCTATTTACACACACCTACAGGAGACAAAAAGGCCAATGTAAAATTACTCATGCAGGCAGCTTCTTGCTAACACATTCAATTATTATGAGAAATTAAGAAACATGGGGTAAATTGTTGCCTCACAAGATTACTGCTTTGAATTTTTATTTTTTCAGTGACAGCAATTACATACTTGTTAGGAACCTTAAAGTAAATGTTATATGTGAAGACGTGGTGTAACTGCAGTTTGCATTTCACTTTTAACAATCTAAACTCTTACCTGAAGTTTGGCAAGATACTTTAAATGTGGTTAGCCTGTCAACAGATTTCTAGGTTAATTCTATTTACATATGAAAGTTAAGATAACAAACAATAATCTAAATACTTAAGAAAGAAAAAAAGAAGATGGTACATTCAGTATGTTGTCACTAGCTGGAAGTTAATTTCAAAGATGTCTCTGAAATCATTTCAGATTTTGCAATTTGTTTTCCCAGAACATTACATTCACAGCAAACAGCTAATTTGTATTTTTGTGATGAAATTTACCATGACGTATGAAAAACCGATCTCTCAATTACTTTCTAAAGAGGCGGGTGAAGAATTTCAGTAAATCTGATCCCCTTTGCTATGTGTTGCATTACAACAGTTCACAACCCAGGCAGGAAGAGGTCAGGTACCCAGATTCCTATTGTCCAATTATTCTTTTATGACAAATTTTTGAGACAGCATGGTAGTTTTAGTGATTATTTTGCTACCTATTTACACATCTCCATTATGAGGCAAAAAATCTGCTCCAGTCTTTCAAAGTATTTATCCTCTCCTGAGCTTCACCTGCCACTGTCAGACTAACAAGCTGACAAAGCCAATTGTTTTCTTTTTGGCTGCTAGTCTTGCCTATTTTCCCCTCCTCTTCTACCTTCCTGGCCTTATTAAATGAGTTCTGTCTTACTGGTCAAATGAGACCCAGACACTTTTTTTCCAAAAAGCTGGGAAACCAGCCTGCCCCAAATTGTTCCTGCATCCAGGAGTGAATCTCAGTGAAACACACCTCTGTGGCTGAGAAGACCTTTTGCGAGCTGACGAGGTTTTTAAGAGAGAGAATATTATATTTGGGCAGCTGCCTTGCAAGCAGAAAGGCAGTCCCAATAAATTCCTAAAGGTACCATCCTTAAATTATCTATACAGTCACACAGAATACATGTACATTAGACTGTTTCTATATAGTCGCTATTTAAAGGAAGAGAGGCAGTGCCAGCAAGCAGCCTTAAAACATCAGTTAGGCTGAATCTCACTCTGAAATAGCCTCTTCCTTAGCAGCTGCACAGAATGAACCTGGCTACTTCAGGCCAGCTGATCTTTGTGAATGCCATGGCATAACAGCCTTCAGCACTGCTAGATATGTCTTACAAGCTGCTGATCAGCATAAAAAAGGAACACTACATTTTAGCACCAGCACTAGATAAGTAACTAAGTTACTTACCTTTTCCCGCTGCAATTACTTTGGTTCAGTCCTCCAACTTTGTTAATTGCAGACCACGCTGTGAGACCTACATACGGTAAGGAGGCAGCTTCTAGGTGACTGAGACATTTTGGCTTAAAAGATACCTGAAACAAAATCAGTCATCTAAATCACACAGTGGATCCTATGTGATACTGAAATATTTAAATCAGCTTTACTGAATTGCAAATTGTCTATTGCACATTTTCAGTTATGTCTAGCAGGAGTGTAGATGAAGTCAAATATCAAGAAACGGACAGCTATTCAGGCATCAAAAAGGAAAACATCAGTATTTACAATTTTGTTTTTCATCTGTTATCCACATTTTTGCAGGTTTACCTCATTTGCACTAGCTACCACAAACTCTGACAGAGTGCCTTGTTTCCATGGAGGAATTGCTCCCCATACCTAAAAACAAACAGAAAACAACTACCAATTTCTCTGCACAAAATCACACCCATGTGGAAAAGTTACATTCAGTAAAGGAATCCTAGTTCAATTTGCCAAAAATTAAAAATCAAAAGAGAAATTAACATGCAGACACAAGTTAGGGAAAGGTGTTTGTCAGAGAAAAAATGTAGCGAAGACAGTGTTCTAAGAAGGTACTGCAAGACAGTCCAGATACAGAGTGCAACAACATAAGAATTTTCTTGCTAGGGAAAGGCAGCTGAATAGCTCATGGTTTAACCACATTTAACTATGGTTTAACATAGTTAACATGGTTTAACATAGTTCAACTATGTGTTTTTAGGGGGAAAAAAAAATCATATTAGAGGTATCACCTCATCTCCAGGTTTGAAATAAGACACACTTAGTCCGCATTCCATGATAACACCTGAGACATCTCGACCAAGTGTTAGTGGGAATTCAGTGTCCAAGCTCTTGATTTTCAGGGGATCCCGCTTCATATTTAACGCAGTTGAACCGTAACCACCTAGAAAATATGAAATTAGCCATTACGTACCTTGGTGGGATTTAATCCATTAACTGGACAATTCCATTTAGAAAGAATTGGCTGAATATAATGCCCCATTTTCAGCACGTTCTGCATTTCTGTTACAGTTTAAATATGCACAAAGCCTACAGTACTTGGAGATTTTACAAGTAATAAGGAAATCTTAATTACGGTTTTCTCACCCACCCCCAACAAAGAGCATGCAGGAGATGTAAGAATATAAATCACCATGGAACAATTTAACAGACTGCTGTTGTGATTTACTTAAACCACATAAAACGGCTCTTTATTATAAAAAGTTCATTAAGCAGCAACACTGACAGACATCCTGAGAGTTCTGCTGCACCTGCTCCATTTCCAGCATCACACCAGTAGGAATCCAAAGGAACAAGTGTGTGTGTGATTATGGGATATGGCACACCTAATCACAGCCCGCCATCTCACACCCCCGCCTCTCAGAAGCGCGGTTAGGGCCGCTCGTGCCCCGCCACTTACTTCTCATGCTAAGGTCTATGGGGTTCAAGCTGGCGGCGTGCACCTTAACAATGACCTCGTTGGGGTACTGAATGACGGGGAACACCATGTCCCGGGTGAAGCGCAGCACCTCGTTGCGGCCGTACCGGTCGATGACCCACGAGGGCATGGCGGACCGCGCCCGCGGAGAGACGCGGAGGCCGCGCACCGGCGGCCGCTGCCCGCCCCGCCGCGCCGCCCAGCGCAGCGCTCTCCGTGCCAGCATGGCCGGCAGCGGGCACCGCCGCCACCGCGTCCCGGTCTCTGACCCCGCCGGGAGTCTCTCAGATCCTCAGCGCCCCTTCGGTGCCCCGGCCCAATGGGCGGCCGCCGTCTTGGCCGTTCCGCCAATGGCGCCGCTCGGTGTTGCGGCAAGATGGCGGCGCCCAGGCGCTCGGCGCAGCGCCGGGACGGGCCGGGATAGGGGTCGTAGAGGTGTGAGGCCGCGGGGAGCGAGCCGCCATGCTGCGCGCTTCTCTGCGTCAGGTGAGCGGCCCCGGGCCGAGCAGTGCGGTGCGGGTGCTGCGCTCGGCCGGCGGGGTGGGCTCAAGGTGACCGCGGCTCGCCAGGGCCTGACTGCGTCCCCGCAGGGGCGCGTTTTATTGCCGAGATGTGCTGGGTTGGAGTCTGGTAGCAGCTTCGTGCCGCTGACCGCTGTGGCCTCTTTCAGATCTCAGCAGCGCTAAAGGAAGGACAGGTCACCCCCACAGAGCTCTGCCAGAGGTGCCTCGCTCTCATCAGAAGCACCCAGTTTCTCAACGCCTACATTACGGTAGCGGAAGAAACTGCATTAAAGCAGGCTGAGGAGTCGGAGAAAAGATACCGAAGAGGTACGGCAGCCTGTTTATAAGGGTGACGCTCCTGGTGAAAGAGTGCTTTTATTGTATGCAGTGTGTGTCAGGTGGGCGGACATGCTGGCTCCTGGGATGGAGTGGGTGCACACAGCACCCAGGGCTGAGATAAGCAGGATGTCATCTCATTGGAAGCAACAAGGACTCTGCTGGGGCAGCTGACTTGACTGAAAGCAGCTGCCTGCTGCCTTAGGAGCCACTGTGCCTTGCAGGGACTGCTCTGGGCATAGGGCTTATAGGAGTTCTAGGCAATGGGTCTTGAGAATGTAATAGACACCCATCAAATGCTAAATGGTTAGTTCTTGTACTTGCAAAAAGCACCCGAAGTGACACGTAAAGTAAATTGTAATTGACTGTACGTAGCACACTGATGCAGTCTGTGTGGTCTTTGCAATAATTCCTAATGCAGGTCAGCCACTGAGTGAGCTGGACGGAGTTCCCATTGCAGTGAAGGACAACTTTAATACAGCTGGCATTGAAACAACATGTGCATCAAACATGCTAAAAGGTACAGTATGAGAGATGCAGTAGAGCTTTCAAGGTGAAATTGGAGCTCTGTCTTTTCTCCTCAGAGGCTTAGTGGAGTGAAGTCTTCCAGAGATCCAAACATTTTCAAAAATGAGCTGAGCTGATTTGAGGAAACGTGTTTATCTGATTTCCTCTGTCAAGATCATCTAGTATTACAGGTGTATCTTTTTCTTATGCAAGTGCATTTTCTCCTTTATTCATGTATCTACGCTGCCATTAACAATGCAATGGTTATTCTGGCCTATCTAAATGGAGTCATTCTGTAGTTCACATGTTACACTTAGATTTACAGAGGAGAGCAGTCAGTAGTGTTTGCTGTTGTGTCCAGCAAAATGCAAACAGTCCTTTTGTGTTCTGTTTATAACCGTTGCATTATGTAGTGCTTTCATATTGCTGTAGGAAGAGTAGATATTAACAATTCTCTGCATTCCTGCTTTACAGAACAGGTTTGTATGACTTTTTAATTCTTTAAAATTTCCCAAGCTTATTGTTTCTATTAACACTCCAGGAAAATTTTCAAGACACTCTAATGTTTCCATAGTGAAAGTGAAAGTAGTAAACATTTCTTATTTTCTTCTTCATTCTGCATAAAGTGAAACTTTGAAGTCTTGAGGAAGATAAACTTCTGCTGATTTACCTGAGGTAATCCTATTACCTTAACAGAAGAAACAAAATACGGTATTGCAATTTAAAGAATGTGTTCCATTACCTGAGCTGTTTTTCCTTAAGCACGTTCTCAGACCCACCGTGCTTTATTGCAGATTAATGGTAGAGAGTTTTAGGAGTGATGTTGTCCTTGTTCCAGCTGAGAATGAGGCTGGAGAAATCACTGTCATTATTCACAGAGGAAGTTAGTTACAACCCAGGATCTTGTGGAAGTGGCACAGAACTCACTGTTTGTATGAGGTCAAAGTGGCTGAAGGTGCACACAGTTGGTCACAGGAGAGCCAGTTTGTATTTCAGCTTGTGATTAACAATATGCTCCCCCATCTCATCGTAAGGGGAATAATTTGAGATAGCTTAGCACTCGTCTGCAAATTGCCCAAATGCCATAATTTGCTACTGCTGTGGTAACTTGTTTGTCTGAAGGCTTAGTTCTGGAAATGTATAATCCAGAATTACTGTATTGTAAATTGTGGAGGGAAAAAAAAAAGCATTACAGACAAAACAGTATTTAGTTTGCTTTTGCTAAATCTTGAGAATTACCCATATTGTCTGTTGAAGCAAAATTTGGGCACTGTGCAGTGGTAACTTTTATGCACAAATAGTGACAAATTTTAAGTGTTCAGAAGAGTAGCTACTTTTAGAAATCAACCATATCTCATCAACCACTCCCTTAACTGTTTTGATTGCTTTCAGGTTATATTTCTCCTTACAATGCTACAGTGGTTCAGAAGTTACTGGATCAGGGAGCTGTGCTTTTAGGAAAAACAAACCTAGATGAATTTGCAATGGGGTGAGTGATGTTTATTATTTTTAACATGTGATTCTACATTAAACAGATTACACACCATCTGTTCTATGCATAATCCTTAAACTCTTCTTTCTGTCATGTTAGAAAAAAACAAACGCTAATCTGCAAAGAGAATTTAGAGTTGCCTGAATTTCTCAAATATTGCATGAACATTTTTACTGTTGTGTAAGTTATCTACATGTCAGTTTTTTTATGAACATAGAGTTCAACTATGGCTGTGTTTCAGGGGGAAGAGTAGCATAGCCTTTGCAGAAAGCAGAAGGCAAACAGACTTGCATATCCAGTAGCAAATAGATCTGGTTACCACACCGGCTATTTGCTGACTTTTTTTTTCTCCTTTCTTACTGGTGGTTTCTGCCCTTAACTAATTATTGTTATGGCCTTGAGACAGTTACCATCTGTCCCAACCACTGGATTAACATGTATGAGTACTCTGATTTGTTGTGAATGGGCTAATTTAGAGCAGCACTTTGAATTGCCTGTGCAACTGTTGCCTAATATTGGTGAATTCTGCTAGGAAAAAGAAATTGGAAAATACTGTCACAAATTTGTTCTCTGACAAATCAGTGAAGGCAGCAGCATGCAGTAGTGTGGGGCAGCCCTGAGCAGAGACAGGAGCCTCTGTCACCAGATCTGTTGGATACTGAAAGATATGGTTTAGTGGTAATGGTTGATGGTTGGACTAGATGATCTTAAAGGTCTTTTCCAACCTTAACGATTCTGTCAATGTCCAGCACTTCAGCTACCAATGAGAAAAATTAAGTGTTGTGTTTTGGCTTTGTTTTTATTTTTCCTAAGCCAAAGGTGTAGGTTTGGTTGGGTTAAAATACTTCGATTGGATCATTTTGGATAAAGTCATTTCCATGTCAGAGACATGCCTCAGGGGGAAAGCAGGGAAAAAGCAGAGGAGAAGAAAAAGCAACCAAACCCTTTCATTAGGGAGGGCTAGAAGTAATCTAAGCTCACTAACGCACAGGATTCTAAGGGTTATCTCACCCTCAGCCTCTCTTTTCTGTACTGTGTATTTGCATGGTCTCATGCCATCACCAACATGGCTGCACCATCAGCTTGATGAGGAAGATGATCCAGCTGAAAAGCAGTGTCTCAATTAGGTTCATTTTCAACTGTGTAAACTGCCAGCTCAGCTGATCTGGCTAATAACACCAACATTATGGAGTTGGGGAACCTGAGGTGGCAGTTGCAAGGAAGGTGGAAAGATCCTCCCTGCTTCTGGTGGCAGCCTGCATCTAGATTATCACAGGCTGAAACCAGATTCCAACAAGCCAGTCTAACATTCTGAAACAGCAGACTGTGACCTCAGGGGAGAGCTATAGAGTAAGTAATCGTGGGTTATTTACAGAGGAGCACCTGTTGCTGGTATTGCGGGGCTTTTCCCCCCTTCTCCAGAGCAGTGTCCCACAAGGCAGTGCTCATCTTTTTCCAAATGCAGGCTTGGGAAGCCAGAGTACTTTTGTTTTATAGCAGATAGATAGTTTTACCTTTAGGTACATTAAGTTTGTTTTATATTTTTCTGTTAGCATCCTTTCCAGTGGCTTTAGAATCACAGAATGACTCATGTTGGAAGGAATGTTAAAGCCCACCTACCTCCCACCCCTTACAGAATCACAGAATTGTAGGGGTTGGGAGGGACCTCCAGAGATCATCGAGTCCAACCCCCCTGCACAGAGCAGGTTCCCTACAGCAGGTCACACAGGTAGGCATCCAGGCAGGTCTTGAACATCTCCAGAGAAGGAGATTCCACAACCTCCCTGGGCAGCCACCCTTGCCACCTACTAACAGAAGCTGAGGTTCTGTGGCAGAGGATGGTCCCTTTGAATATTTCGACTTGTGCACGTTATCTGTCTGCACTAAACTGTACATATGCCAGTCTTTTTGTGTTGAAATTGAATTTATTAGAGTAAGGGATGAGGAACGAGATAAAGAAAAACTTGGAAAGCAATGTGTTGTCTGTCACTTCTGTCCCTATTTCTTCTGTCTTAGATCTGGGAGTACAGATGGGGCATTTGGACCAGTCAGAAATCCCTGGAGTTATTCAAGACAGTACAAGGAAAAATCTGTACCCAGATCTGATTCTGAGCCTGAAAACTCTAACTGGGTAATAACAGGAGGGAGCTCTGGAGGCAGTGCAGCTGCTGTATCAGCTTTCACATGTTTTGCGTAAGAAGCTTTTTGGAATTGTTTTTAATGAAATGTCTTGAAATACATTGTAAGGTTTTCACTCAGTAATTTTCTAATAATGCAGTTTATGGATTAAATTGTGGAAAAGATGTTGATCTTGTCTGAGATGGGAGCATTATTTGCACTGGCTTGTGAGAATTTATTTCAGCATCTTCAGTTTTTCATGGCATAGCATGAAGCCAGCATGATTTCCTGTAGGCAGAGTAAGGCTTATTCATTTAGAATGTTATTCAGTGTACTGATGTGAGCGCTTTGCACTGCATGAGGCAAAGTGATAATGGCAGTAAAGGAATGACAGTATTATTGTTATTCCCACATACTCTTAAAAATAACAGAGACATATCCTCTACCTCTTTAAGTATGTTAAACATGTACACACTGAAAACTTAATTCAGCAAATGATGAGGTGTCTGTTGACATGTAACAGTTTAGAAATCCTTCCTCCTGGCCTCTGTTTTTATAGCTGGGTATGTGATAATATGGATACGTGAGATTTGACATCTAAAAGCTTTCAAATACCCAGTTTGAAAACAGGAAGCCAGTTTATAAAAATACTTGGAATTTTATCTGTTTTTAAAAAGTTAAAGAGTTTTAGTTTATTAAAAATTTTTTTTACAACAATTATCTGCATGGAATAGCAACACACTATTTAACAAATTGATTGTTTATACTCTCTTCCTCATCCATCTGTTAAAGGAAATCTGTTCCTTTTTACACTGAAATCTTTATACTGAAATTTACACTTTATGCAGTTTCGAGAGTTACATTTGAGAATGCTTGCTCAGTTGTGTTCTTAACTGGAAGATGTTTTAAATAATCTTTAGTTATTATGTCTTTGTTTACCCATGTATTATATTTGTCTACATGGTAAAATATTTTTGCTCCCAGAGATTACTACTTTTAAAAACCCCATCGTTTTAGGAATAAAACTTAAGGTTTTATTTTTTATTCTGATTAAAGTACTTCCATTTTTTAAGTGGATTTTGAGTTTAAAGTCACTAAAACCAAGAGAACCTCAATTTCAACGTGACTTTGCTATTTCATTGAAATTTTTACAGTGAAAATTTCAGTTTGGAACAAGATTTCACTTGTGAAAGAGCAGTAAAGGAATTCAACTTAAAGAGAAGAAAAAGAATTGCGTTGAAACTACTCTAAATTGGGTGTTCTACTATACTTTTTTGGCTTGGAAACAGGAAGAACCTCTTAGCTAGACTTTGAAAAGCCTGCCTTGTTATTGAGGGCAAAAAGCATACTGTGTTACCACTGCTTTGTATGCTGGATTGTGATACTTCATGTCATCATTCATTAATGAATAAATGGTCACGAATATCTGAAAATCATAAACTAAAACACAAGACATCTTTCACAGACCACAGAATTGGAACGGACCAACAGAGAAGTAGGAACTAGGTCTTTAGAGCCCTATTCTGAATGCCTGATTTCTATTTATCTACCTCTGATTTGTAGAGAGAACCAATCTCTCCCAGTGGCTAATTCAGAGGTCCTAAGAAAAATGCTGAGAACAGCTGAAAAATAGCAGATGTAGGGAGTGGGCTAATGTTTAGAGTGCGTGGTTATGACTTTTAGTTGGGAAGAACTCAGACATTTTTAAATCCATGCATCTTAAAGCCATAAGTATTGTTTGGAGATGTTCTGAATCATTTTACTAACGGTAACCCTTTTGAAACCGTAGAGCTTTAGGGTCAGACACAGGAGGATCTACCAGAAATCCTGCTGCTCACTGTGGTGTAGTAGGTTTAAAGCCAACATATGGACTGATCTCTCGCCATGGTCTCATTCCTCTAGTGAACTCCATGGATGTGCCAGGAATCCTAACCAGATGTGTGGATGATGCAGCTGTTGTGCTAGGTATTTCTACTACATATATCTTTGTATGCTCTATGTCTTTGTTCAAAAAACAGGCTGAATTCCATCTACCCAGTGTGCATTTTCCTGCTCTTCAATGTGTCATGTCATGTTTCAGGTTCACTTGCTGGACATGATCCTAAAGACTCTACCACAATTCAGGACATCTTTCAGCCATTTGCACTGCCAAGTTTGACTGATGTCAGCAAGCTCTCCATAGGAATTCCTAAGGTAACGTTTAAATCCCATCAACAGTTGAGAACAAGAATGGCAAATGTAACTCCTTCCAAAAGAAAGTATTTGTGTATTGCCTGTCACCACCCAATTTCTCATAATTTGAAAAGTGAAAACAGTATGAGCAGCTCCCAGAAAAGAGCAGTATGTGCTCTATTGCCCACATAGGTGATTCAGAGCGAGCATCCGCTAACACTTTGTCTTAAATGCTTCGTCATCACTGTGGGAAACGCTGCCAGGAAGTTCCAGGGAAAATGAGGGGCTTCAGATCTTGCTTCTCTATGGCTTTTTCATCAGATACCTCCACAACTTCATACTAGTTATTTTTAGTGACTTTTTACAGTGAGGTTAGTTGTACTAGTACTACTTGTACAGTTTTTTGAAATCCTTGTTTAAATGGCACTGTGATACAGCATAATTTTAAAGGCAATTGAATGGCACAAGGAGCTGTGACTCACAGAGCTCAAACAGGGATGGAAAGAAAACTTCACGATAGCCGCTAATGTTTTCATCGAGTAATTTGGTTTGTAATGCACGTAATTCAGTCGTTCTTGTAAGTATGCTTGTAATTTAAGCATGACATTTGGAGCTGCAGCCTATTTTTTAATTACCTTTTATGGTTTTGTAAAGGTTCTGTCTTCAAAAAAACAATGTGTGTCACATTTGTTGGTTTGATTCCCAGTACTTGAACCTGTGACAGAACAGGTAAACCAGAAGATTCAATTTTGTAAGAAGAGATGCCCACTGACAGTTAATTATTCAGAATCTGTGAAATGCAAAAAAAAAAAAGAAAAATACGTCTAGAAAATTAATTTTCTGCATACTGTTTAGATTTTGATAAATCTAAAATAGTAGTATTGATAAATTATTCATATCCCTTGGACAATTGTTTTCTGCTGCTACAGATTAACCCAAACAGGTTAATGCATATATTATGATAATATGTGTGAGTCGTTGCTGTTCAGAGATCACATGGTATTTTGACCCAGTTATTTTGAGCTTGAACTGAAGCAAATATCTTAAAACAAGAATGTTGCTTGTCTAAGTCAGTCCTATCCCAACCTTGTGATTGTAGTTCTCTGGTGGGTTGCTTGTTTGGCTGAGGTGTGCTAGTAGGTGCTGATGTGCTGTGAGCATAGCTTATTCCCTGCTGAAAATACCCCTAGTATTAGGGCTTACATCTGCACAGCTTCTACCCATGAACTGTAGAACCATGCGGTGTGGTCTCTATGTCTAGATGAACAAGTGGACACTTCTCCAGAAGAAAACTGCTGAAATTCCATTATGGATTGTGTTATGGGTTACAATTTGCTAAGGTGATCATAATATTCTTTATTAGTTTATTTAGAGTTTATTTAGTATTGCTTGCTTTTATAATATTTAGTAGATGTGATAGGCTGCAGTAAGTATTTAAAAGCACACAGTGTTAATAGTTTCAAAGTATTTTTAGCAAATAGTATTTATATGTTGGTGGCCAGTAAAAGTAAACATCATTTATTCTTGTTTTTCTCTAAGGAGTACCAGGTACCAGGGCTTTCTAGTGAAATTCTGGCTGTTTGGTCAAAGGCTGCTGACCTCTTTAAGAATGCAGGTGCTAAAGTAGTTGAAGTGAGTTTACCACACACCCGTTACTCAATTGTCTGCTATCATGTGCTCTGCACTGCAGAAGTGGCATCAAATATGGCCAGGTTTGACGGACTGGAATATGGTAAGGCCTTTTAAATTATTATTTTTTGTTGTTCTCAGGCAACAGAAACCTTGCTAAGTGGCATTAAGAAATATCAGTTTTGATAGTATGTGTTTCATAGTTGACTGTTTGATGTTCTTTTGGATTGGAATAGAATAAAAACCTTGTGCACATAAGAGCTGAATAAATAAATATTTTATTGTGTTTCACTCATGCACATGTGAGTGTCTGGGCTTAAAATCTTCTCTGTAATGGAACATGGAAGGAATATGGTTTGTGGATTTTTCCAGAATAGCAGAACATCAGTCTGCTGCAAACTGCAGCCTATTGTACTATGATGTGTACCATTATGTTATTGAATCTTAAGAATCACAAAAACTATTTCTAAATTGCCTTTTCTTTCCAGGACATCGTTCTGACGTGAACAAGTCCACAGAAAGCATGTATGCTGCAACACGACGAGAAGGATTTAATGATGTTGTAAGAGGAAGAATTCTATCAGGAAACTACTTCTTGTTGAAACAGTAAGTGGAACACATCTTCAAACTCAACTTTATTAAGTTCATAATTTGTTAAGCAAATAGAAAAGAATTGTTCCTCAAGACATGAAAAAGAATTGTCCTCAAGCTAGTAGCTACTTCTATTGTTATTACTGCTTTAGCTATGTAGTAACCAGTGAACTGTTAGCAGTGAATGAAAATGTTTTTCCTTACCCAGGGAGCCTTCTGAATTAAGTAAAACATCCTTGTGATTATTTTTTTTTCCCCATCAGAGCATTGTTGTCACCTAATAGTTAAAATAAGGAAAAATATATCCTGTAGGAAGACACTGAAATCACAGTAAAGCCATCTCTCTTGTAACATTGTAAGTTCTGTAGGTATTAGTCTCATTAAAGCTGCACAGAAAAACTGCTGGTGCATTCTGCTGAGGTCTTCTAGAGCAAGACAGATGATACACAGTTCAATTAACTATAGATCTCTGCCTTAGTATGCAGTGGAGAGAAGGCAGAGGTGCCTGAACTAATGAATTTAACTTTTTCATCTCCATTTTTTGCTCCTTATTTACTATCCTAGTATGATAGAGTAAGCAGGAGTCATACTTAACTTGTTTAGATACTAACAGAGAAACTGGTCCTGTAATTTGTCTCAAAACAAGCGCATGACAAAGCTCCTTCTCTCAGCAACAGCATTCATCACAAGTGACTTCTAGTTACTCTCATAGACAGGAATGTTGTCAGTAGATAAGAAGCAGCTTTTATGGAATGCCGATAGTCCTGCCAAGTATGCTCGTTCTGGTCACAACTGTCCAGGTCAGCTTTCCAAAGACTGCTTTAAATTTCATGCAGCTCACTTTTTTGTGAAGGAGCATAAGATTGTGTTCCATTAGGACTGAACAAGAGAGTCCTGTCTCTGGCAACAGTAAGTTACTTTTGAAGAACAAAATCCAGGGTTCTGCAAGCGTTCTTGAGACAAAGTACAAACATCTCTGTTTCCTGCAAACAGTGCATTTCACAGAATATTTTGTTCTTGCTTTTTATAAAATAACTATGTGATCATTCATGCATTGATGGTTATTTATAGTCATTGCATCAGAATTAACAGAGTGGGTTTGATTTATCAGTATTTTAATTTTTTTTAAAGAGTAACTGTTGGTGATTGCTTTTGAAACTAAACTCTGAAGTTATGAATTCTGTTACATGTTTGCCAGTTCTACTTGTGAAATTAAAAAGAGCAATAAATATAAAGCTAACTGATTTGTTTCTGCTTCAGGATAGCATAAAGACAGTTTAGAAAGCCATAAACCCAACACTAATATAGGGAAAAAAAAATAGAGGAAAGAGCATAGTTTAGTAAGAAGCGTACTAGAAACACATTCTTGCTTTTAAGTCCATTTGGATGTCTGCAGAGATTACAGGAGTTTTTCACATTCATTAAGTGTCTAGCTGGATTGAATCCTAGAGCTTAACGCCTATTTTGCAAACCTGCTTTGCTTCTGTAGTATTTCTAGACTTTACTGTGCCTTTCTGCAGTGAAATCCAATATACGGTTTAGTTCCAGAAAGGCCATATAGCATTATTCTGATCCTCAGCTATTTTAAACTGGGTTTTGTTTTTCCTTCACCTTTCTTCAACAGAATTTTCTTGTGTCTTCTTTCTCTGACGTCTTCGTGGCTATGAGAGCGTAAGCACTGTGTTTGGTGACTAAGCTTGTGGTATATGAGAAACTCAAATACATGTTAGCCTCTTAATCAGGAGGAATATAGAGTTTATCTTTTCTATGGTAACTAAGCAATTGCTGTGTGTTCAGAATCGTAGCATTCCACCCTCACACCCGTATTTCTTTCTAGGAATTATGAGGATTACTTTGTCAAGGCACAGAAAGTCAGACGTCTCATTGCCAATGACTTTGTGAAGGTTTTTGGAAGTGGTATTGATATTTTACTCACTCCTACCACTCTGAGCGATGCACTCCCGTATATGGAATTCATCAAAGAAGACAACAGAACCCGCAGCACGGAAGATGACATCCTAACACAGGCTGCAAACATGGCTGGTGAGCAGGGGCAGGAGTTCAACTGTGTTTTCTCCTGCCTGTAACATCCATTCCCTTCAACCTTTTAACCTCTTACACAGAATTGAGATACCTCCCCCCTCTTGTTAACTTACAATAGAAAGTTAACAACTCTATACATAAGTACAGTGAGCGTTTGTAAAATGCTTCATAATGTAGGGGTAGATTTTAAAATGCTACTGAACTGCTCTGATTCTCTCAGAATTGTTACAAAAATGACTCTAACTGGATTTGTTTAATAGCAAGCCTTTGTGTGAATAACTTCTTTTGTTTCAGGACTGCCAGCCGTAAATGTTCCTACAGCTCTTTCAGGAAGAGGCTTGCCAATTGGGCTTCAGTTCATTGGGCGTTCATTCCAAGAGAAGCAGCTGCTCACAGTAGCCAAATGGTTTGAAAAACAAGTACAATTCCCAGTGATTCAGCTAGAAGAAGTGAAGAAACATGACAACGGTGTCCTTCAGCATCAGAAATCTGCTTCTTTTTCATAGTATCAGATTTGCTGGTCAGCAAAAGCAGGAAGGCTGTTGGGGATAGTTTAAAAATGTACTTATGCAAGAAAAAAAAACCACCAACAGTTTAAGACAATGATATGCTGTTATGCAGGATGGAATAATAATTTTCCATTATTAATTAAGGCAAAGCAAATCATTAAGTAAACATGTATATCTTACTAAGAGCCACTTCTTACTGATATTAAAAACACCAGATTGAAGTTATTTATCTTACATCTGTGAAGCTGCTTTTTTCCATCCCCAGAGGGCATGTAAGGTATCTGGCTCATTAAAGAACTAACCTGAATTTTCATGTGAAAATTGCATGGTTGCCAGGGAGCTTGATTTCTCTCTGGAACATAGACTTTGGTAATGGAAACAACCAGACAAGCTGTAATGGAACAAAGTTATTGAGAGTCCATTTGCCAACCAGTAAATACAAATGAAATCAAGAAAACAGCATAGACATAGTTGATTTTAAAAGCAAACAAACAACAACTCCCTCCATCCTCACTCTAACAAACTCTCAGCAGGAGATGAAGTACCTTCTATGTATACAAATCTTGCAGATTCTGGTTACATCCATCATCAGAAGGATGAATTCCAGACTTCTTCAGGGAAAAGATGCTGATTAATCCTTTTCTGCCTTAATTGTAATTCTCTATAATCAGTGGTTAATTTTTTAGCATTCGTTTTATTTTCTATAGTGTAACTCTCCATACAAGTAATGCCATCTATTCCTTCATGGAAGCTCATTCAGAACAAAAATAGTTTGAAATAAGTTTCCCAGCTATAATGTTAGTACACCAGGAGACAAATTAAACAACTGAGAAGCAGTTGCTATTGCTGTAGTTTCTGTTTTTCTAAAGCTGGAAAAAGTATGGAGTTTTAAGTTTGTAGATTTGATTTTACATCGTTTGTTTTCAGTCACAGTTTACAGCTTGCACACATAAGGAGTGTAGGGTGAGGGAAAACTATTGTGATACTGTAACATGTGGAATCTTCCTGAATGTTTAATGTCTTAGACCATGCTGTCACCTGTAAAAAAAAAAAAAAAAAAAATTACCATTCCTAAAAATCACAAATGAAGAATTTCCCACAGCCCGATGCCAGCTATGCCAATACCTTTCCCACACAATTAAGTCCCACACAATTAATTTTATTTTGTTTTTGTAAGGATTATAAAAGAAGGTATGCCTTGTTTTAGTCTGATGCTATGCTATGATGTATGTATAAAACAGTCTTCAGGGTGCTTGGTTTTACTGTTAGTGAATGGTGATAAATAGTGGCCCCAAAAGACTACTTTACTTTAACTACTGTCTTGTTTAATAATTTACTTATGCTCTAATCATACTGTCACCATGTGTGCCTTGTGCTCTAGCTGCCTACAAGCCAGAGCTGTCAGTATGATTATTCACTATCTACCTTGAAATCCCTACTTTTTTGATTTGCAGTCAGGTCCTGCTTAGCAGTTCTTAAAGTAAGGATCAAGGTGTTTTGATGAGAGATAAAATCCTGACTGGGGAGAGCATTCCTTGAGCATAAAGAGCTTTAGAGTATTATGGAAGAGAACAAGCAAGTAGAAAATTGCTCTCTACATCAGAAGTTAGTTCTGGACTGACTGCTGGCCCAGAGGAAAGCGTCTACTTATGCTAGACAAGTTGTCTCGTCAGACTTCCTCTGCTGTTAAAACAAATATGATGGAAAACCTGGATAAAGGCACATTTGCCAAGCAGGGGTAGGTGAAGGGAAACTGGTCTCATTCCTGCTCTACTTCTTTGTAAAGCAGAGCACTGAATCCAGTTTCCAGTATCCTTCAAATGAGCATTCAGATGATAGAGGCAAATGGTTGTTCTGACACAAATTCTTCAGAATTTCTTCTGTTAATAGATTTCAAGGTGTAGAATAACTATGCAATGAAATATGCAGTAAAATACACACTAGACAGACATCTATCCTACAGCCCTGAATAGCATGGCATTTATAACTTTGTTAGTGATTGAGACCCACCTTTGTATTAGACAGTAACAAGACTTGGAAACAAAACATCAGGTTAGATTGATAAGTTTCTGGGTCAGTAGGTTGAAAGCAGCCCTGACAAATCTTCTGTCCTCCTCCTACTCCCCTGCTGTTTTGTGGTTTTGGGGACCACGTGTACCAGATGCCTTTCCTGCACTTTCCTAATACTGGAATCTCACCAAGCCTGAGGTTAGAGCTTAAGAATCAGTGTGGCTGAGCAACTTCAGGATGTAAGCAAGAGTGTCTAAGGGAATTGTAATATCATCATGCTAGAAAATTCTCTCTTACAGTTGATTCTGAACCCTTCAGGAGATCCTGAAGTAGTGTGACAGCCCGGCCTAACTCAGATGGCAGAAGGATTGTGAGTGATATCTCCAACCAGATCTTTGTGCAGCTGCTCCTAGTGCCAAGTCATGGCTCCAGAATTTTAAACAGCAAAAGTTTCTATGATGGATTATTAAGAGCTCAAAAACCTTTCTCAGAGAAGCAGAGCAATTTCAGAACACAAGACAGTAAGTCTAGGGGGAAAAAAGACCAAAAAAAAAAAAGTTCATATGAACATTTTGTACAGTTGCCTTGAAAAACAATTTACAGAAATAATACAGTTGAAACTTTTATGGTATTGTAACACAGCCACAGCAGGTGGCTAGGTGTAACCCTATCACACAGGCAGCCCTGATTTGTAGCTAGAGGATAATTCCAGTGCTTCCAGAAGGAAACAATAGCTGGAACATTAACAAACAAGCAATCTGCTCAAATGGTTGAGGGTGTGAAATCTTTCTCCAGGCACTGGGAAATGGTAAGGGTATTATGTAAAGGAGAAGTTAATTTGAACAGAAAAGTAAGACCTTTTGCTATAAGGTGTTTTTAAATACAACTTTATTCTGGGTTGCAGTTCATATACTTTCTGTGCACGTGTTCTCCTCATCTTCCTTAATGGGCTCACACTGAGAGCAAATTCAAAGCAAACTTCTGAGTGCAGCTACTTCACAATTACCACATTTCTCAGTTTCTAGGTCACTTAATAGTTACTGTGACCTCACATTACATAGTGTTTGTTAGCCATTTTTTCACTTCTTTTAAGATGTAGCTAGGACTTAGTCTATCTGGAAGGCAATAAGAAATGGGCTGGCAGCACTGCTGCCTGGGGCATCCCAGGGTTTTCCTTCAGTGCCCTGAGTATATTTCCTGTGTGAGCTGTAATGTTGCGTTACCACTGGACACAGGCAACTGAAGAGAATAAAGGAGTGTGTCTGAAAATCTGAGACTAGTAAGGTTAAAAGGAAGTTTGACTGCCATATAAACCAGTGACCAGAACACTACCAGAGAATCATAGGATGGCTTATGTTGGAGAGTACTTTAATGATCATCTAGTTCCAACCCTCCCTGCCCCAGGCAGGGTTGCCAACCACTAGATCAGCCTGCCCAGTACTCCAAGTAGTTAGGAAAAAAAAAGCAAAAAGGAGCAACCTACATTTGTTTGTTTTTTTTTTTTTTTTCATTATGTCTGGTGTAGGGAACCTGCTTTGGCAGGGGGGTTGAACTCAATGATCTCTGGAGGTCATTGAGGTCCCTTCCAACCCCTACAATTCTGTGATTCTGTCTCTCAACTGAAGAGAAAGGTATGTGATTACACCAATGTAGAAAGAGGCATGAAAAGAAAAACATTACTATCTCAGTTTACCACTCCTTTGACTGATTAATTTTTAGATGCAATAAAGGAATTCCAAGCTAACTTTTTTTGTAAACAAGACTCTTTTTCCCCACCTAGCATGGGCATCCTCCCATGGTTGCTGTTGAACAGTAGTAAAAGGATTCTTCAGCTCAGCAGCGTAGGGCACCTGGAGAAAGAAATGGGAAGCCAAGGGGCTGCCACACACAACTGGGGACAGGGAAGCAAAACTATGGTGAAGGAGGTTCCCCAATTTCATGTTCCTAAGCTGAAATCTTTCAAGGTGGATGCATTTTTGAGTTATACCTCTCTGGACTAGAGTCTGTGTGATTTAGTCCAAGATCAGACTTGCATTTGCAAGTATTTAGTTCAAAAAGGAGTTCCACTATCTGAGACTGGTACACAATATCTACCTAACCAAAAATCATTATTAACAACAGAAAGCTTTGGAACACACAGCAGGGACCTTGTGAGGCAGATCTCTCTTTACGGGTAAGAATTTCATGCAGTCATCTCTATAAATGTATTAAAATCTGTCTCACCTATAGAGAACTCTGGATTCTTTCTCCAATTCAGAATGTTTTGTTAAAAACTGATTGCAGCTGAGCCACACACCTATTTGCTCAAGGCAATATTGTTCTGCTTAAATATGCCTTCTCACTCCTTGTGTTTAATTCACTATTGTGTTTGTAAATCACAGTTGCATTCTTCCTTAGCCTTTATTCTACTAGGACAAACAAGGCAAACTCTTCCAGTTTACTCCTCTATATTTTACTACTCACTGCTAATCCCCACAGCCGCTCACTGCACCTGCCCCAGCTGAATTCATGTTTCTGGCATGGGTGACCAGCATTGTAAAGACAATTCCAGGTGCAGTTTTACAAACATAACTGCTTTAATATTTCCCCATCTCCCTTGAAGAATTCATCTGCACAACATTCTGGAACTGCACTTACCTTTTACTCAGACACTTCATACCAGACCAGCAGCCCAAAGCTAATTTATGATTAACCAATACTCTAAGGTTTTCTCTGTCTCCATAGCTTTAAAGGGATAAGAATTTCTGGTATGAGCTGAAAGCTCATTATTAAACCTCTAGGTTCATGACTCCGCATTCATTTTCCTTAATGCTGTTCATATTACCAGCATTTTCCTGTTTTTCTGGAAAGTCCAACCCTCCACCATTTTGACAGTAACGCCCAGCTTCATGTCATCAAAAACAAGGAACACATCCTCCAAATAACGTACTCATTACCATAAATTTAATCTCATTGCAATAAGCCATTGTTGCATAAAGACTTAGGGGACAACATGCTTCAGGTTTTCCTTTGTGGTCTCTGTAATTGTTACCTATCAATTGGGCTAATGTGCTGCCTACTGACAACAGCTAGCTACAGCCTGAGGAGCTTCAACTACTGTTAATAAAATCCAAGGTTTTGGTTCCCACTCTGTTTCATACTGCCTTATTTTGAAGGCTACAAGCAAATACAGCCTCCTGTGACAAACACAGTTGAAGAATATCGAGAACCCGTCCCTTGAAAGAGCATCTGTTGTCCATCTATCCAAAGCTCACCCCAGCAATAACAAAACACCCAGGATAAGCAGCTCTTTTGAACAAGAGCTGCCTTTTTTGCTTTGTATCCACAGCACTGGAAATGTAAGAGCTTGAATGATCTGCTCACAGTTGCAGACAATGGAAAAATGCTGAAACATGAAAACAAAGCCTTCAATAGATAGAATGAAGTCACTAAGATGAACTGCTAACAGCAAGCTCAGCTGAGCCTGCACTGAGCTAGCATCCCAGCTGAAAATAATGTAGGTACTAAGGTTTTTTATTATTATTATTGTTTTTGAAGTGAGACCCTTTGACAAGTTGTAACAGGAAATTTATGGAACAATTGCTCTGCTCTGGGTGATATCTACGCTTTAAAAGCAACCCTATGACTACCACTCTTCCACTTCAATACCAAATGCCTTCTATAAATAAGACATACTAATGAATTTGGCCAATCAACATGGAATTAATTGACAGAATGGAGATGATGGAGAAAAAGTGAGAAGAAAACTGGTTCTACTTGCTGTCAATAGACTGGATGTGTTGTTATCAAAATTAAACATCTGACAGTCAGTAACCATAGTAATGTACATGCTTCCTAACACAGGCATCTAAAATCCTGCCACTCTTTCTAAACCATCACCAGAGGCTTTCATGACCACACTCACTAAGTGGATACTACATTCCCATGCCCTCCAGTCTTAATAGAGTAAGTGTGCTAACGAATTAACATCACTTTAAGCCATTTTAGAATGTACTTACTTCATTATTTAAGATTTAAAAATGTAACTAACCTCAAACTCCATTTATCACTGTCAGAAACTGCTGTCATTGCCTTAAGTAACAGCACAGTGGATGGATAGAGAATAGGAAAACCAAGCAGCACTTGATTACTTTGTTGATCTATTTCTTTCAAGTCTCTTTCTAGGACCTGCTGCAAGCTGTAACCTTTACCTGTTATTACCATTAAGGAACATTAGTGTTACTAGTATTACTCTGTGATGAATAGTTTTCTTACTATTCTGCTGAAGCAGGCCAGCTGGCCATGCTTACTTTAACATGCTATACTGATTTTGTATCTCTCCTATCTCCTGAAATAGTATCACATGACATCCAAGAAAAACATCCCTCTACAAGTCCAAATATAATATGGGAACTTTTTTTTTTTTTATTAGACACCTTCCATAACAAGATCACAAAGGCCTCAGGTTAGATTGGCAGAAAGCTGTATTCGATTGTCTGTTGACACATTATTTTTCAAGTGCTATCCCTCCAGTCCACATATCACGCCTTCCACTATTTTTCCAGGAACAAAGATCCAATAGGCTTATGGTAGGCTGTTCCCACTTTAACACATTAGCTTCCTTCCTTGCAGCTTCCTCAGTGACCATACTGATGCTCATGAAAGCCTCTCAGCCATTTACAGTTCACTAGAAACTGCACATCTTCATAAAAATCATAGAATTGCTCAGGTTGGAAGAGACCCTGAAGATCATCAAGTTCAACCTCAACCTAATCACACTACCCTAACTCCAACAACCCTCTGCTAAACCATGTCTCTGAGCACCACAACACAATGTGTTTTTAAACACATCCAGGAACGGTGACTCAGCCACCTCTCTGGGGAGCCTATTCCAGTGCTTAACAACCCTTTCTGTAAAGAAGATATTCCTGATGTCCAAACTAAACCTCCCCTGGCTCAACTTGAGGCCATTTCCCCTCATCATCTCACCTGTCACGAGTGAGAAGAGGCCAACCCTGCTTTTGCTGTAAGCACCTTTCAAGTAACTGAAGCCTCCTCTTCCTCAGACTAAACAGCCCCAGTTTCTTCAGTTACTCCTCATAAGGCATCTGCTATTAAGCACTTTCTCAAATTACTATGGGAAGGGAAGATATTATACACTGATATAACATCCTTGCTTTGAATTTGACAATTTCTTAAGTCCCTTCTCTGCTCTTACTGACAAAGCTCCCATTTTGCACATGGCACCAGTAGGCAAACAGTAGCTCAAGCTGAGAACGTTTATTTTTGTTCTTAAAAAAAAAACTTGGAGCTCGATCTCAAGTGTTTATTACCTTGTCTTACAGAAAGACCTGTATCAACTTTTTCAGTTACAAGTGGCTGTTTCACTGTTTTCAATATCAGTTTTCCCATTCTTCTATTTATTGTACTTTCAAAAAGAGGAGAAGCATTGTTTTAACAGCTGCTCCTCAGTCAAGATGCTGTTTGTTGAAAGCAGTGTACCTCACCATTTCTCCACACCCCCCCAATTACAGCTTTATTACCTGTAGAATAGCCTTAGACACTTCCCAATTATCATTTACATTTTTCTTCTCTTGCAGCTGACTTAGCCCAGAATCATTTTTCTCTTTATATCAGATAAAGTTACTGATTTGCATTATATTTGCCTTCAACAAATGTAACAATGCTACAAACATTTTTCCTGGTTATATCAGTATTTTTTACCCTGATACTTTTCCTCTGCTAAATCAAAAGTCTTCCTTAGAGCTTCTCTGGTCTACAGGGCAATATTTTTAAGCAAGAAAATTAAGAGCATTATTTAATAATACTGAAGATACTTCAGTCCTAGTCACTGCTGTCAGCATATGTCACTCAAGGTCTCCCGTGAAGATGCAGGTTTCTTTTTCTTCCTGAGCTACATTAGGAATAG